AAATACATAGCTAATTGAGGTTCTGCCCCGCCCCAACAAAAGGCCTGCCCCCTAACAAAAATCCTGGCTACTATGTCCATGTCAGTGGCTACTAGCCACAATGGCTATGCTGTACCTCCACATTCAGAGCCAGAAATGCTTCTCAATACCAGTAGCTGGAAGCCGCAGTATGGAGGGAAGGCTCTTGCGTTTGGTTTCTGCTTGCGGGTTTCCCATGAGGGCACCTGGTTGGCCACTACAAGAACAGGATGCTGGACTAGATGGGACATGGTTCTGATCCAGCAGGTTCTTCTTATGTTCACATCAGCCAAGGGTGGTCAACCAGTGGAGCTTCAGATATTTCCTGGACTACAACTCCCATCATCCCTGGCCATTGGGCATCCTGGCTGGGGGATGGGAACTGATGCCCGGCACATCTGAAGGGGGATCATAGACGTCACCCATGTTGATTGACAAGGTAAATAAAAAATCCTGGGCCAACAAAAGAAGAGTGGTGGATGAAGATGGCGGACTTTGCAGAACTGGCGAAGCTGACAGGAAAAATCCGAAACCAGCATGATCAAGTATTCCAAAAGGACTGGAGTAAATTTATACGATACGTAATCTCGGGTTACATACGCTTCAGGTTACATATGCTTCGGGTTACAGACTCCGCTAACCTAGAAATAGTACCTCGGATTAAGAACTTTGCTTCAGGATGAGAACAGAAATCATGCTCCAGCGGCGCAGCAGCAGCAGGAGGCCCCATTAGTTAAAGTGGTGCTTCAGGTTAAGAACAGTTTCAGGTTAAGAACGGACCTCCGGAACGAATTAAGTACTTAACCTGAGGTACCGCTGTATCTGAAAGATTGTTGGAAGCAGTTAATATCACTAGCAGGGTTGTCTGAAGACTTGTAATGAGAAATGTTCTATCTTTCTATATTTATTTAAATTTTGAGCCATTTTGTAATGAGGGTAATTAGAACTGGAAAATGTACAAAATGCAATGATATAAAGCTTAATTTTGAAAGCCATGAGGCGGGAGGGAAGGAAGTTGATAGGGATAGGCTCTAAAGACCCAAGGCGGTAAAGTGGATAATGATGATGTGAATTTATAATATCAAATTGAAAATAAATAAAAATTATATAATTATTTTTATTTCATAAAATTTAAACACTGCTTTGGGGGGGGGGGGGACAAACCTCAAAGCAGTTTATAATCCCAGATAGGGATTGTTCTCCTTTCTGGAAACCTGGAGTGCAAGGAGGACCAATGTTCTGACTCAGTAAAAAGCATTTTGCTTTGCAAGTCTTTATGATTCCAGCTGGCGATCTGGGAACTGCCGCTATCTCAGCCCCTGTGTATGGACCAGCAGGGAAGCGGGTTCAGTGATGCCAGCCATAGCAGGCAATCTCACCAAACCAGTGGCATAGATGTAGGTTAAAACATATGCCCGAGGCGTCTGTCTTCCCCGGCCATCAATCACTCTGGTCCATAAGAAGTGAGAGAGGATGTGCAGTTGGTGATAAGGAGGTCTCCAAGCAACAGGGGGAGCAGATGAAAGAGGCTGCGCTCAGCAGAACCGTGTAAATCAGCCTCTCTCTTTTTCACTTTTGTCAGTCACGCTTCCAGCCGGTTGCTCCACCAGGCCATCTCGTCTGGCTCTCTCCTTGAGAGCTCGAGTCTTCCTAATGCCACCGCCCTGCTGCTAGCAGCAGAGCCAACCAAAGCAGGTGTCCTGGTTTGTTGCACCCCACAAGGAAGGTCAAGGAAATCTGAGTTAGGAGGGTGGCAGCGTTGATCCTTTTTGAAAAGCTACAGGATCTGAAGAACAGAGACACCGGGCATTTGGATCTCGTTGGCTGGAGTTTAGGGTGAGTTAAGGTAAGCAAACAGCTTTGCGGGCAGCATTTTCTTCTGGATTAAAAACCCAAGGCAGAGCGGGATTTGAAAAGTAAAGAACTTATTTCTCATCTCTTAACAGCAGCCCGGGGCTGTGTTGCCAAATCCTGGAAGACCTTTAATCCTAAATCATTTGGGTTGCTGGTGTTCAAGGGTTTGGCAAATTACCCTTCTTGAAGAGATCTGCCATAAACCAAAAGTATCTAAATGGTAGAGCTCGAAGGACTGTTCTTTTTTCACATATGGTAGGGCTTTATTTCCTATACGTTGAAGCACATGGTTGTTCAGTGGCTTTCAGATATTGAGCACATCTGGCTCATTTAAGACTATATCAAACCTTTATTCTCAATAATAATGGAACTCAGAGGTGGAGAATCATAGAATCATAGAGTTGGAAGAGACCACAAGGGCCATCGAGTCCAACCCCCTGCCTAGCAGGAAACACCATCAGAGCACTCCTGACATATGGTTGTCAAGCCTCTGCTTAAAGACCTCCAAAGAAGGAGACTCCACCACACTCCTTGGCAGCAAATTCCACTGTCGAACAGCTCTTACTGTCAGGAAGTTCTTCCTAATGTTTAGGAATACTTTTTTTTTTAATAAAACTTTATTATTTGTAAAGGGAATCTTTGAACAAGTTATTACTTTATTTTCCATTTGGAGCTATGCTGTATCCTTGCACTTTTGTCCTTACAGGCTGTGACACTTTGTGGTTCTCTCTCTCTCTCTCTCTCTCTCTCTCTCTCTCTCTCTCTCTGTGTGTGTTTCTCTCTTTGTTATGTTTGCGCTTCATTTTTGTTAATCACAAAAAAACCTCAGAGGCACCAAGTTGGAGCTGCAGGTGCTTTCTGTGGCATCCAGAGGGGTCGCAAATTCATTTTGCTGGTACTATACAACTTTCAATATTTGTGTGTATGTTGTGCTGTGCGTGGACAGAGGGTCTCTCCAGATGCTAAAACCGCAAGGTTAGTCCTCAATATTAGCACAGGTTCCTGGGTAGTAGCAGATCTTCCAAACCAGCCTTCCCACGAACCTGAGGCACCGCCAGATGTTGCTGGACTACAACTCCCATCATCCCTAACCATTGTCCACACTTGCTGGGGCTGATAGGATTTGTAGTCCAATAACGTCTACAGCAGTGGTTCCCAAACTCCACCCTCCAGGACCACTTGGAAATTGCTGGGGGTCTTGAAAGACACCTTAATGGTGGTCTTATTTTCTCCCAGCATGTGATTATTGACATGAATAAATAAATAAATAAATAAATAAATAAATTGCTAGTTGCTTTATCTTGGTCAGGGCAACCCAAAGTGACTTCAAACGAAACAAACAAGCAGACAATAAACCCCACATAGATGCATTAAAACCAAGTGGAAAGAGATATGGGGGGGAAATGTGAATCGGGGGGTTGGGGGCGGTAAATAACAAAAGAATCCTCTGGGTTCAAAATGTGAAGCTAAACTCCAGCAAGACAGAGCCCTAAATAGCAGAGTTTAAACCAGGGTTTCCCAAACCTGGATCGCCAGCTGATTTTGGACTACGTCCCATCATCGCTAGCTAGCAGGACCAGCGGTCAGGGATTATGGGAACTATAGTCCAAAAGCAGCTGGAGAGCCAAGTTTGGGAAACCCTGGTTTAAACTCGCAAAAGTCAAGCAGCAGTGTAGCTTTAGGAATACAAATTGTTTGACCCTTTTATCCCATTTAGTTGCAAACAGCACTTGACTTTTTCTAACCCTCTTGCAACAAGCAGACCACACAATGATCTGCTTGTTTGAATAAGTTTGAAATGCTTTACTTACAACTCTTGAGATTTCATATGGGATGCCTGCTGCGCCCCCCCCCCCCCCAATATTCAAAACAAAACAACAGAAGCCAATAAGCATTCAAATTTTGGAGTGCCCAGAGTTAAAATCTGAATTCTAAATTCCTCTCAAAATTTGAATGCCAAAATTGGAAGCACATAATGTTTTTGAATATTCATTTCACTGCCGCTTTGAAGACTTTGACCTGTTTGCCTAACTGTGCTGAGGATTTTTTTCCTTACAATCAAGCAGTATTTAAATTTTATGAAATAAAATAAATAAATCTGCAGAATATTAGTGAATTTGTTGATAGGATGCGATTGGCCCACTTTAGTTCTCATTGTTTATATTTATTTTATAGTCTGATCTTCTTCCAATGTGTTTTTATGCAACATGCATGCAACCCCCTCTCCTTGCCCTGGGATTCCTTGTGACGAAGGGGATGCTATAAATATGCTGAATAACTAAAACAAGGAAACATATGAAATGGCCCTTTCTTTTCTTTTTCTTTAACTTTTCATCCTTTATTATTTTATTCACATAATATACATTCTTTACAACAAACAACTCCAAAATAGACAACTCCAAAATAAAATCATATTTAACAAAACCATAAGTCTCATTTTTTCATTTACACTGATCTCCTCTCCGATACTTTTACTTGATATTTCTTGCTGCTTTCTGCTTTCCTTATAGAATCTTTATGAAAATTTGACTCTTAAATCCTATACCAATCTTTAACAGTTTCAGTTAATCCCTTCACCTCCCTCCCCCACAGCCCAGACCTTCCTTCCACCTGGGTGCGATCTTTTTGTTATTGTTGCGTGTGATAGGAATTTTGAAGTCTTAGATATATGGTAATGTTCATAAGCGTACCAACCAAGCACATACATAGATCAGCACAGGAAGACTGACCAGGAACCATTTTGATTCCTAAACTGAGCAAATGTTTTCTCTGCAAGGTCAAAGTGGGAAACCTCCCCATTGCCTCTTTCCTCACAATTCCTGTCTTAAGGGCACATTTAAGATATGAATACGGTGTGAGCCTGTGACATGGCCCAGGAACTAAGTATTTATCATTACAAAAGACTGGCCAGGCTACCCAGGCAATCCAATCAAGTAACCTGCCAGACAGGAGAAAAACAACATTCAAAATTCTGTTTTAGACCGCCTTTTTTGTGATGTGGGTATTATGTATCTGAGGGGTGGTCTTAGGTTACACCCCTTCTGTGATGTATGTATGATGTTTCTGGGGGTGGTCTTGATCTACAGGGTGGCAATTTCAAAAGTCTTTATAAGGCCTTGCGCGACATTGTTCTGGGTTCCTCCTCTCTCCTGTGGGTGAGGGGAGCACCCTGTTGCAACAGATCAATAAAGATCAGGCTTACTAGCTGCTTTGCTTCTCAATATTCTCTGGTTGGCCTCTGTTATCTTCTCCTACCAATAGGGAACCTATGTAAGGACTCTATATGGGCTCTTGGATACCCCATAAGGGAAAAGGGCAATTTTTGTTTACAACATGCATTATTCACTTTATTTGTTATTCCATCCTTAATATATTATGATCCTATCTCCTTGGGCCTTTTAAACTTTTGCATATTAATTTTTAATTTTTTTAAAGCGACATGGCCCTTTCTTTAGGAACATGAATGAGGGGAACGACAGAAGACTCACAAATGCTTCCGGCCTTCTTCAGCGTGAGGGTCAAGGCAACAGAAGAAAAGGGACGAAGGCCACCCCCAGCTCTGCTGAGAAGCCAGGCTTCTCCTGCCTTGAACTGCCGCCTGAGGAGGGGTTGAGAAGGAAAGCAATACCCCTCCATCAGCACAGTTGAGAAATGGGCAACTTTTGACATCTCCTCTCTTTGAATTGTTCCACCCGTTGCTCATTAGAAGAGCCTGTAAATCAAATAAACAAGGAATATTCGGTGTTATGCTGGAGGGGATGCCAGGAAACTGGGACTTATGTTCACATGTGGTGGGGGTGTAAATATGTCCTTTTTTTTTTTTTTGGCAAAGGCTGTTTAAGGAGATATCAGAAATCACTGGGTTAAAGCTGACCGAAAGTCCAGAGGCAGCATTATTATCAATTTACGACTGGGCGGAAGTTTCGCAGGCTGTGAAGGACTCGCTCACAAATCTATTGACAGCTGCATGCATTGTTATAGCCAGGAAGTGGAAGGGGCAAGCAGAATATAAAATGGAAGAATGGTATAAAGAGGTGTGGGATATACAGTAGCTATTAACATGTGCCATTATGGTAAGACAGGGAATATACAGGAGAAATTGTTTTGAGGAAATATGGAAGGTGTTTTTAGAATTTGTACTGTTAAAATGGAATTGCAAGAGGTGTTGAAATTTTGGGAGGTTGGATAGTTACAATGGAATGGTCCCGGTGGTGGGTGCACATGCTTATTCTTATTTATTTATGATTATAAATAAAAAAGGGGGAAAGAACCTGTAACTGGACATTTGCATATCTCCTCCTCCCTCCCCATCCATTTTCCTTTTGTGTCATGCCTTCTGAGATTGTAAATAAATAATAAGGTAAAAAAAACCCCAAACCCTTTCTTTCTGCTTTTTCACAGGAAGAACACAACAGCAAATTTAATGGAAAGGAAATCAAGATAAGGCATTCCACAGCCCCAGCCTGTCCTATCTAGACCTGCTTTCAACCACCAGGACTCTTGGAGACTCCATGTTCCATGGTGATTTAGGAGAGTGCATTGCCTCAGCCATGTTTGGGCCAGAGAAAAGCTGGGGGATAGCGGCCGCGGTCCTCCAGGAAGTCCAAAGGGTCTTGGCTTATTTCTTGATTGTGTACACCCTCCTTTTAGGAGGCTTCATTTGTGCTGGACTGATACTGCAGTTCCTCACTTAGAGTAGGGAAGGTGGAGGATTTCGTATGAGCCACATTGGAATGGGGACCAAGCCAATTTTGCAGATCACAGCTATTGGCCAGTTATTGCATCTCTCCAAATTTTGCTGCGACTCAAAAATGTACAAATACCCAGGGTGCTCGAGATATACATGCAAAATATGCTGCCCACCCTATGTAAAATTTGCATTTTAAAATATACTTTAATGAAAAAACACCTGTGCTTTTCTTTTATTTTAAAAAGCCATTTGATACAGAAATAGGATGGAACAGATCAAAGAACGGAAAATGTGCAGAATGAATTGGTAATAGTTCTACTGTGCATACGAATGAAGGCTCACACTGTTGTCTTTTAAGAAGAAATCATGGTTTGCGTTCAGTTAAACGATACTTAATGGGCTGGTTACGGGAGAAGCAACTAACCTTCCTTGACCTGAGAGCCACATGCAGTCTTGGCCAACCGCCTTGGGGGGCCGCATGCCAGTGGTGGGTGTGGCCCAAAGTGGGTGTGGCTATATCTTCCCCCTTCCTAAATTGTCTCCGCCTATGCCAGTACTGAGTCCACTTTTTCTCCTTTTTGCTGCTGCCAAATTGGGGAATCGGGAAAAAAATTAAATGTTTTGGGGTGGGTCAGAAAATTAGGCTCTGTAGTTGGGGATTTGCCACACATTAGGTTGAAATACACACCCACACCCACACCGGTTGCCTTTCTGCTTCCGTACATAGGATGATCTTAGCATGTTCTGCAAAAAACGACAACACAATGATTGTAGAGGCGGAGGGAGAATTATAAGTGTGACGCCAAAAAAAGACCCCTCTGTTTCAGATTCACCTGCTTGGCCCAAGCGGTAGAGGAATCCCCAAAAGGATGGGTTGATTATTTTGACTCTTGGGCTTGTTTGATTGTGGGGAAGGTGGCCATTTGATGGTGTGGTGTTTTCCAAGTGTAGGATTATAATGTGTCGTCCAGGAGCGCCTAATCTGTAGTCCTTCAGATGCTCTTGGACCCTGTGAAGGCCTGGGTAGCTCAGATGGTTAGAGCGTGGTGCTGATAATGCCAAGGTTGCAGGTTCAATCCCCATATGGGACAGCTGCCTATTACTGCATTGAAGGGGGTTGGACTAGGTCAGGGGTCAGCAACCCACGGCTCCGGAGCCACATGTGGCTCTTTTACACCTTTGCCGCGGCTCCGGGGCGGATACTAGCGAGGGGAGGAGGCGCATTGTGTGCCCCAACACTCCCCATTGTTTTAAATGTCGCAATGGTTTTGCGGCTCCCAGTTTATTTTTTCTTCGGTCCAAGTGGCTCTTTTTGTCTTAAAGGTTGCAGACCCCTGGACTAGGTGATCTGCAGGGTCCCTTCCAACTCTACGATTCTAAGGACAATGAGGGTCCTCATTCTCACTGCATCTTCCTGTTTTGCCTCAGCCGGGCCACCCCTGGATGGAAGTTGTAGTCCAACCATACCTGGAAGTGCACACCCTTGGTTGCGTTGATTTCTCCATTCCACAGTTTTGAATGGTGCCTGCCCCTGATTAACTTGGCAACAGCAGGTTAAAATGATATAGATTATATTTTAATAACAGTACCGCCAGACTTCCCAGCCGACAGGCACCATCTTCTAAGAGGCACTCAAAAGCCTCTTTTAAGAAGATGCCTGTTGCTCCCACGGATGCCTGAAAACAAGGTGTGCGTCCCTTTTCTCCTGTGAGATATTCCTTTCAGGTTCAAACAAACCCCATCCCATTCATCAAACAAAGACTTCTTTAATTGAGGGGCACTCTGGCCCCGAAGCTTCTCTCCTTCTGTATCTTTGGTGAATTACTCTGCCCGTAACCACCACATCTATGATGCTTAATTGAAAAGACAACAACCCCGAAAGCTCTCTCCCCGCCTCCCGCCTCCCCATCTTTTAAAATGAGGCTGCCCCCAGACGGTGGAAACTTATTCGTTCATTGGGAACAGTGTAAATCTGCTGCTGTTTACATATGGAATTATTTCAATGTGTTAAGACACAACCACTGTCGCATCGGGTTCTCCTTTGAGCAGAAGGTGCCGCCAAAATCCATCTTCAGGGAAGAAAACATCCCAAAGTGTGTAATTCACAGATGATCGCTCAGTTTTTCCTCTTCCCTCCGCTCCGCCAACTCCTCTGAGCTCCTCCAAGAGGGACTCAGGAATGGGATGTACGTCCAAAGGCCAAATGTCTCAGCTGAGCTCCTTGAGAGAGTCTAAGGGATTGAGGCAGCCACAGCGGGAGGGGAAAGGGAAGATGGATACTGTCGACAGATTGTCCTGAAACAGAGGGCCTCACAAGTTTCGGCCAGGCTGGTCATATATATGGTGGGTGGTGTAGCGGGTGATTGTCGCTGGATCCCTCACGGTGACAATCTCGGCACTGCCGCAGACGTCCGAACTGTGGGAAAGGAATGGCAGAAGGACGAATGAGGTCAATATGGGCTGTGAGGATCGCGTAAGGTCGTGTCGGGCCTCAACCTCACTGATGTGGGAGAAGCAGTGGTGGTGTAGTGGTTAGAGGGCTGGAGGAGGACCTGAGAGAGACCAGGGTTCAAATCCTCCCACCTGGCCATGAAGCTTTAACTGGGGGATCTTGGGGACCAGTCTCTCAGCCTAATCTGCCTCAGAGGGTTGTTGTGGGGATTAAATGAGGATAACAGTATACACCACCTTGAGCTCTTTGGAGGAAAAGGTTGGGCGTAGGCTCAGCTAAATGAAAAAGAAACACTTCACAATTAAACTGGGGAAACTCCTGTATTACTTAAAGGCAGGGTCCGGCCTGCCCATGAGGTGAGGTGGTCACCTCAGGTGGCAGATCCAGCCACCTCTGCTCATTGCCACCGACCCACCCTTGTGGATGTCTCCCCACCACATTGCCTCCTTCTCCTCCTCTGCTAGACAAAAATGCATCAAATATAGGATTAAACATTTGCCCAGACATTCAGCTAAGTCCTACTCAGAGGCGACCCATTGAAGTGAATGTGCTAGCCATCTCCATTCGTTTCTGTTTTGGGCATGACTAACGTCCTATGCTCCAGAAGGCTCAAGTAAGCAAGCCAAGCTGCAGACGTCAAGCAAAGGCCCTTAACTCCAGGGTGACACGGCCACCGGGTTTCAGGCAAGGCCATAGTCAATTCCCTCCGCAATTCTAAATAGAAACGTACTATTTATAGACCAAGGCAGCAATGAGGGCAGCCAGCAGGATGGCAGAGAGGATGGAGAGGATAGTGGCAATGGCAATCATTCCTGCGCTCCGCCGCTCAGGGGATGTGTCGATCGTCTCGGGATCCTTCCCTGATAAGGACAAGAGAATACATTTAAAGCTGTAATTGTCAGACGGGCCGTTCTATTGAAAAGTGACTAGAAGGAATGGCATACTCAGTGTCATATATGTATATGCACCCAGAGGTCTAGAAAGGTTGGTGAGCCCTGATTCCTGAGCATCACAACCGCGGTGGTGGGGGACTATTTATTTATTTATAATAAAAAATGTTTGCCGCTATATCACAAAAGTATAACAAAATGGTTTACAGCAATAAAGCCATATAACCATACATCAAAAGCATAAAAAAGTTAAACACAAGTTAAAAGCACAAAAGTTAAAAACAGACAGCAGCAAATGGTAATTGCGTGCATAGGCCTGGCAGAATAGAAAAGTTTTCAGCAGGCGTTTAAAAGTTGCCACTGAAAAGTTGTCTGCTGAATCTCCAGTGGCAGAGAGTTCCACAGGACTGGGCCCACGACACTAAAGGCTCAGTTTCTCGTTGTCAAATGAACCACGCCAACTTCAGGTGTGACTAGCAATGCCTCTGCAGATTATCTCTCTGATTGAGCCTGAGGTACCTTGAGGTACCCTGGACCTAACTTTTTCAGGCCTTTGTAAATTGAGACAAGGACCTTGAACCTGGCTCAGTAACAGATGGGTAACCAGTGCAGCTGTTTTAACAAAGGTGTTGCATGCTACTGGCCAGCCGCCTCAATCAGCAACCTGGCTGCCACATTCTGCACCAGCTCGAGCGTTTGAACCAGTCCCATGGGCAGCCCCACACAGAGCGCATTGCAGTAGTCCAGCCTTGAGGTTACCAAAGCATGGACTGCAGTGGCCAATTTATCCCTGCCCAGGACTGGCCATAGTTGGCAAACCAGGCCGAGCTGATAAAAGGCACTCCTAGTCCTTCGGCCCTCTAGTGATAAACATGTATCTGCACACAGTGATAGGGAGGCGTTTGAAGGCATCTGCAGTGGTCCTCTTGAAACTGAGGGGTCTCCAACGTGCTTGGCAGGGTGTGGATTGCACCCAGCAGGTCCTGTTCAGTTACCTTGGATCAGCGTGATGGGATCTGACCATCTCGACTCTGCTGTGGGGCCTCCGGAATTAAAGGCCAGAAACTTCACTCTGAGAAGAGAAAGGTAAGAACTTGATGGAGTCGGAATACCCTCTTCCAAGTCACATGAATAAAGGAAAGAAGGAAACTGCCTGGGACTGAAAAAGACCATTGGTCCTTCTGACTCAGGATTGTTGACACTGGCTGGCAGCATCTCCCTTCAGGGTTTGAGATAAGGGGCACCTGAAAATGATTTACAGATGGTCTTTAACTCCGAGTAGACTTGCTAAAATGTGTAAGTCTGAATCAGATAAGTGTTGGGGATGTAAAGAGGTTGAGGGTACCTTTTATCTTATGTGGGCGACTTGTAAAAGGGTAAAAGAGTATTGGGATATGGTATATAGTGAATTTTTTTGGGGGGGGAGTTTAAAAGTACATTTCCCAAAAAAACCCAGAGTCCTTTTTGTTGGATATAATTCAGAGGGAAATTCCCAGGTGTCAAAAAAAAAAAAAAAGCTATTTATGTATACTACTACCACAGCCTCTGTTTTGTTAGCCCCAAAATGGAAAACAAGCGAGGTCCCAACCAAAGAAGAATGGCAACTTAAACTGACGGAATACGCACAGCTTGAAGACTTAACTTCTAGAATAAGAGAACAAGAAGAATGCACGTTTAAAGAAGACTGGAAAATATTTACTGAATATATAGGTGAAAATTGTGTTCATTTAAAAACACTGGTAGCATTAAGATAAATTCAACAGAGTAAATAAGTTTTGATGGATGTAACAATGGATTACTGAATGGTTTAGTTCATGTAAAATATGCAGGAATATGAATTAAACCACAGAGCCTAGGACAGATCAGAAGGTCGGCGGTTCGAATCCCCGCGACGGGGTGAGCTCCCGTTGCTTGGTCCCTGCTCCTGCCAACCTAGCAGCACGTCAAAGTGCAAGTAGATAAATAAGTACTGCTCTGGCAGGAAGGTAAACGGCGTTTCCGTGCGCTGCTCTTGTTTGCCAGAAGCGGCTTAGTCATGCTGGCCACATGACCCAGAAGCTGTATGCTGGCTCCCTTGGCCAATAAAGCTAGATGAGCGCCGCAACCCCAGAGTTGGTCACGACTGGACCTAATGGTCAGGGGTCCCTTTACCTTTACCTTTATGGTATGCAAAATGAACCACATAAGAAGAAGGGAAGTCATTGATTTAAGGTTGTTTAAATGAATATTTTGAAATGTAATTCAGAAAAATTAATAAAAATTGATTTTTTTAAAAAAAAGAGAGAGTTAAGGGGCACCTTGAGTCCTCCCTGGAGATTGTCAGGAGCTAGGGCCAGGGGTAGGTCAGCAATAAAACACCCGGTGTCAGTGAGATTAGCTTTTAATTCAAGAAACAAAAACAGTGCAGGCCTAGTGATCACAGCAATTCTACCCAGTAGGTCTTACCCCAGTGAGGCAGTTATAAGGACTGAATGTCCCTTACTTCCCACAGCTCTCTAAGACTCCTTTCCTCCCCTAAGCAATCTGAGACTTCCTTGCTGTGCCTGCCTTTGCTCCGCCCTCTTCATACCTCTTCTGGTTCTGGGAGACCAGGGGGGAAGTGAGTTGGTCGCAGTAGAAGGGGGAGACCCCCTGGCTTCTTTAGCAGCCTGCCTCATCCCTGCCTCTTTGCCCTCCTCCTCTCCAGCCTCCTATTCTGCCTTTCACCCTAGACTGCTCTCTGACACAGCCTCTTCCTGCTCACTAAACTCTGTTGCCTCTTCAGTTTCTGACACCTCCTCCTCCCAGTCCTCAGGACTCTCCCCAGGTAACCCCCCACTCCGCAGGCTAGAACGCCTCATGTGTTTTTCCCCGGAAAGCACAAATATGATAGATTTGGCTCTAATTTCATTTTTTTGTTTCACACCGCTGGAATGCAGAAAACAAACAACCCTCAAGGCAGTTTACACAAAAAAAGATAAAGCAATCAAAATTATCAATAAGGAAAATGAAAAGCGATAACGTAGGACTTCTGAAAAGCTGAATTAGCAACAGGCCAAAATAGATTCAAAGTGGCACCAAGTTTCTAACAGCGTACTGAATCGAATTTCCTCCCCTTCCACCCGTCCATTACATGTCAGCCATCAAATGCCATTGCATGTCAACAATGTTTTACTGGGAGAAAAATAGAACCATTAAGTTGTCTTCCAAGACCCTCGGCCATTTTCAAGAGGCCCGATGTGGTAGTGTTGTTGGTGGGGAGTTTGGCAGTCCCTGCTCTAGATGTCGTTGGACTTCAGCTCCCATCATCCCCAGCCAGTGTGGCCAATGATCAGGGACGATGGGAGTTGGAGTCCAACCACACCTGGCAAGGCTTCCTGTTTAGGACGGCTGCACCAAATGGAAAACAAACAAGCAAACCCCATAGACAGTACTTTAATGCAGTACTGGTTTAATTCAGAAAACAGAGACACTATCAGAACTTTGAGTGGCGGGTGGGGGAATCACCTGACACAGGTAACTCACCTGTAGGGTCCTGGCTCAGGCAGGGGGCCATTGCAATCTGGCCTGGCGGGATCCGTCTTGCAGTCGACTTCGTTCCCCACTCGCAAGACAGTGAGCTTGCTGCTTTCTTCCGCTGGGCAGGGGTAGTTGGCTGGGGCAGTGCCCAGAGTCATGTAACAGGAATTGTTCTCGAACGCCTGATAGGGCAGCTCCTCAGGGGATCTGAGGACAGCGCAGCTTTCTGCCGCTGTAAGGGGCAATAAGAAAAAAATGGATTATTCGCCAGGCCTTGCTGGGCGACCCTAACAGGAACAATGTGGCAAAAATAGTGCAAGCGCAGGAAGGCATGAACTCCTTTATAGGCATAAAGAGACGATAGAGGATGATCTGGAAATGCTTGAGATGCAACAAAAAGAAAATCTCTTAAGACTCCGTGGGGTTCCTGAACAGGAGAGGGAGGACATAAGAGAAAAAATTGTGAAGGAACTGGTGGAATTTCTGGAGGAAAAGTCAGAAGTAACTATGGTTGGCATGGGCGGTAGGCAAGAAATATTTGGGAATGCCTTGGTGGCTGAAGTGAGGCAGAAATTACAGCCCCTGAGACTAAGAGGAGATTGTGAGGAAGGTGAGCTGGATTTTAAATCTGATTTAACTGATAGCTGCCTTCCATTGAAATTTAAATATGCCAAAGTTAGGGAAAATAATGTGAAATAATTATTGTATATGTGTAACCGCACATTTGCAATCAGAAAAATTTGAATAAAATTAGAAGAAGAAGATTGAGGAATATTGTGTTGAAGAAAAATAAGAGAGTGAAGGTATATAAAATGCAATATAAAGATTAGGAAATGTGTAATTAAAAAATTGAATAATGGATGATTGTTAGAGAGGCTGAAGGAAGTCCAAAAGAGAAAATATGTGATAAATTTAAGTTGGATATTATAAATGTATGTTGGAAAATTAATAAAAATTATTTATAAAGAAGAAGAAGAAGAAGAAGAAGAAGAAGAAGAAGAATTGATGAAATATGTGTACAGAAATGCAGAAGAATTTTGTTAATATAAGGAACCCGAAGAGGGAATGGAGGGAAGTCATGAGGTTTAAAGAACCTCAAAGATAAGGTTTTGAAAGGTGTTTGTGAATGGGGATGGGGGCGGGCGGGGATTTGTCTTTTGTACTTAACTGTGGAAATTAATTGTGAAGAAACCAATAAAAATTGATTTACAAAAAAAAGAAAAAAAGAGCTCAATGGAGAAAAAGGCGGGATATAATTGCAACCAATCACACACAACGTACCATTGCTGCGGGCGACCAGCAGCCATATCTCATCGGTGGCATCGACAAACTTGTTGAAGACGCAGCGAGGTTGTTCCAAGGTGAAGGTGGAGGAAGTGATCTTCGCGGCCAGGTCCTTGGAAGTGAGGCGAGGCGTATATCCTACCGACACTAGAGAAAGGCAACGAGAAAAGGAAGTGAGCTGTTCATTTTGCTTATTAAAGGGTTTTTTGGGGGTTTTTTTTTAATCCCACTCTTCAGCAGAAAGTTTCCCAGAGCGGCTTGCAACAGTCGATAATAAGGTGCTTGTTCTCAGCCTTACAATCTGAAGGGTGTGGCACAAAAGGAAAAACGGATTGGGAGGGAAGAGGAAAAGAATGCAACTTCAAGCACTGGTTCTGATGTCCTTGCAAGTGTTCTTCCCCTTGTTGTTACTTGTTCCCGGGAGGCATATTCCCAGATGTCTTTATTTTTCTGGCTGATGGCAGAGACCCTGTACTCCATCTCTGCAGCCCCAGGACAGCTATGAAGGAAAAGTTCGTGCAGAGGATAATCCGTTTGGTGGAAGAGGGAGCAGGCTTGTTTTCCTGCTGCTCCAGAGGGTAGGACCAGAACAAATGGATTCGAGTTACAAGGAAGGAGATTCCGACTAAACATTAGGAAGAACTTTCTGGCGGCACGAGCTGTTCGAAGATGGAATGAGCTCCCTTGGAAGGAGATGGACTCTCCATCCTGGGAGATTTTGAACAGAGGTTGGGTGTCCATCTGTCTTTAGCTGTGACTCCTGCATTCTGCAATGGGTTGGACTAGAAGACCTTTGGAGATCCCGTCTAACTCTACACTTCTATGAATCTGCAATACTGTTATCTATGGAAAGCATGTTTATTCCACTCCTCAGTTCTCACCACATTTTCTGAAGGGACTCGTCTACCGTTTGCCCTCCCTGCAAATTCCCTTTCCTTAATGGAGGATAGAATATTTAGCACACCTCACCCAGGACTGTAAAAATGTGTGTGGCTTGTTTAAGGACTTGTTCCACTAAAACGGGGTTGAGGGGAGAGAGATGCCCGGTTTACTGGCCTAATTAACAGCCTCCCCCCCCCACCCCCTCTCTTGCCTTTCCACCCTTTAAGTTACTAAAACAATGTATTGCATTTTATGGGAGGCATAAATTAGAGAAATCCAGAGCCTACCTTTCTGAGGCTTATTCTCTAAATGAAAAAGTTAATCCTCCTCTGGAATCTTACCACCCCCTCTCCAAAGTTTTTACCCCCCACATCTACACACCACCCTGCCGCTTCTATTTTAATCGTTTCTCAAGAGGTCAAAATTCTTTGCCACCCTTTCCAAACCGATGGCATGTCCCCAGGGTGTGCCAATTGGGTAAGGGGAAATCTGGGGAGGAGGGAGAGCTCTATAAACAAGAGGTTGTAGCTGTCATTCTATTATTTGTTTCATTTATCAATTGCTTCCTGCAAAACATCGCAAAGAGATTAAACATTAAACCATCATAAAAGGCATCAATAAAAACACTGCCAACCGAAGCATGTACTGTATATAAACTAGTCCAAATTTTGCTGCGTTTTTCTTAACTTCAACTGGGCTACAAAGTCTTTGTTAACTGCTCAGTTTTATCTATTATGTAGCTTTAAACTGTTTTTATTTAGTCTTTCAAAAGTCTTGTCTGAACACTGCTGTTGTATTCTTTTCTTAATTTATATTGACTCCCCGCTCCATTATATTTTATGTAAACTGCTTAGAGATTTAAAATAAACATAAAAATTGGGTGGGGGTATTTCTAGCATTAGTCCTACACAAGAGCACACCCGCTGAAATTAATAAACCATGGCCCATTAATTTCAAAAAGTCTACTTTGTGTAGAACTTTTATTTATTTGTTTATTTATAATAGAAAAATTTCTTTTATAAAAAAAGAGTGATGAAGGAAGAAAAATGTGAATGAGGATAAAAATAATAAAAAAATACTCAATTACCTTTACATTTCCATACATTGGAAAACAGATTTGTTTGGTCTTATTATGCTATTACAAATATCTTTATCAACAACCCAATATATTCTGCATAATCTATCTTCTGCAGAACTTAAGGGACAGTCACATTAGTGGCACAGACTTGTTGGATGCAACCTTTTAACATTAAGAGGTGTCTGCAATTTTACAAATAAAACCAACAAATAAATGTCTTTGTAAATTCAGGAGCGTGGGTGGGAGAAGGCATTCTCTGTAGCAATCCCTGAACTGAGAAACTCCCTTCCCACAGAAGTGTGTTGAAGACGTGCATTATGTACCTTCTATTGTATCTTAAATACGCACCTCCAGACCACAGCCTTTGACACCACAGATATACATATATCAGGACTCAAGCTATTCTCTTGACAGCCATTTGTTAAAACTGGTTTTCGTATTGCATTCTTAAATTGTTGTAGCTCGCCCTTGAGCGAATCACAGAATCAATGAATTATAGAGTTGGAAGGGGCTCTGGGGGGCATCCAGTCCAGCCCGCTGCAATGCAGGAATCTCAGCTAAAGCTTCCATGATAGATGGCCACCCAACCTCTGCTTAAAAATCTCCAAGGAAGGAGAGCCCAGTATTCTCTGTTCCAATGTTGAACAGCTCTTATGGTCAGAAAGTTCTTCCTGATGTTGAATTATTAGTGATCTCTCTCTCTCTCTCTCTCTCTCTCTCTCTCTCTCTCTCAAAAATGCATTTTACAAATAAATCAATGTCCCCATAAATTGAATAAGGCAAGGAACATCCCTACCTTTTTCAGCTGTGACGCCGATTCCCATCACCAAGAGTATCCCAGAGAAAAGCATGCTTCCCACGGGTTGTTCTTCCTCCTTCTGGGTCTCTCACACAAAAATGCCACCAGGAGACTTGAGCACAAAGATGCCTCCTGCCCCTATTTGTGGTCCTGCCCCACTGGGCCTCGCCCACATTTGTCATTCAGTTTTTAGACAGCTGTACTTAAAAAAAACACAACCCCTCCATACACATGGGCGAGGGCTGGCAGCAAACAAGTCCGGCTTGTTTTGGAGAGCGAGAGATAGATGGAGCGTGAGTGATCCAACCGACCGTGCCAAAGAGGGGTGTGCCCAGGGGCTGGTGGGAGCGAGAGAAGGTCCCTCACGTGGATTGGCATTCTCTGGGCGTCACTTAGAGACACTTGGTTTCTAAAGGCAAGAGGAAGCGACACCTGCCTCAGAGGGATGTCACGTTTTCGCCTGGCATCCTTGAGCCTGAATGTTGGTAGATTTGGGGGCAAAAGGAAGAGAAAGCGGATAGAGAAAAGGTTTGGTTTCTCTCCCGCCCCTCCTCATAACACTAGAACTTGTGGACATCCTATAAAGCTGCATGTTGGAAGATTCAGGACAGATTAATAATAATAATAATAATTTTTATTTATACCCCGCCCTCCCCAGCCAAGGCCAGGCTCAGGGCGGCTAACAAGCAATAATAAAAACAAGTTGAATGAATACAGCTTAAAACAAGATTAAAATACAACATTAAAATATTGAACCATTAAAATATTAAAATGCAGCCTCATCACAGGAGGAGAAAGGAAAAAGGAAAAAGAAAGAGGGGGAGGGAATCAAACTGGCTCCAAGCCAAAGGCCAGGCGGAACAACTCTGTCTTACAGGCCCTGCGGAAAGAGATCAGATCCTGTAGGGCCCTGGTCTCATGAGACAGAGGGTTCCACCAGGCTGGAGCCAGTGTTGAAAAGGCCCTGGCTCTGGCTGAAGCTAATCTAACTTCCTTAGGGCCCGGGACCACTAGGGTGTTGCTGTTTATGGACCTTGAGGCTCTCCGTGGGGCATACCGGGAGAGGCGGTCCCGTAGGTACGAGGGTCCTAGGCCGTGAAGGGAAAGTCCTTCTTCATGCAGCGCAGTGTTAAACTGTGGAACTCCCTCCCACAGGAGGCAGTAATGGCCAGTGACCTGGGCGGCGTTAAAAGAGGACTGGACATATTCACGGAGAGGAAGTCTACCGATGGCAACTAGCTTGTAACTGAAGGAGCATCTCCAGCCCGTCGTCCAGCCCAGACACGGAGGTCCAGCTCTGAGGGCCTTCTGGCAGTTCCCTCACTGTATAATCCAAAGAGTGGTGAGAAGAAGCCAGAATGAGATGGGGCTGAACAAGGAGAAGAGAGACCCTTTGTGCCACAGAGCAGAGACCAATGGACTCTCGCTCTCCCAGACCAGGGAACATTTCCCAGCATTGCCTTCTGATGTTGACCAGCTTTTGCAATTTTTATTACAGTGGTACCTCGGGTTAAGTACTTAATTCGTTCCGGAGGTCCGTTCTTAACCTGAAACTGTTCTTAACCTGAAGCACCACTTTAGCTAATGGGGCCTCCCACTGCCGCCGCGCCGCCGGAGCACGATATGTGTTCTCATCCTGAAGCAAAGTTCTTAACCCGAGGTAATATTTCTGGGTTAGCGGAGTCTGTAACCTGAAGTGTATGTAACCTGAAGCGACTGTAACCCGAGGTACCACTGTATTGCACATTCACTTGGATTGTAAAGTTCCACTCAGGTCATGAAAACGTAAGACAGGGATGTAGCATGGGGGGGGGGGGGTTACTAGAGCGATTGTCCCAGGTTCAAAAAAGGTTAGGGGTGCGCCTCTGCAGTTGCCACCCCCTACTGGAGGCAGTCCCCACCTGGCCTCCCCGCCTCACCTGAGCAGCACGCTGAGCAGTGCTGCGTGGAGTCGCCAGTTAAGGGATGCAGTACTTTCCTTGCCCTGGGCTAGCAACCCATGCTACACCACTGATGATGGAAGAGCCTGCTGGATCAAGCCAATGGCTCATCTAGTCTGGCATCCTGTTCTCATCGTGGTGAAGTAGATGCCCCAAACAGAAAGCCACGAGCAGGACCTGAGCACAAGAGCACCTTCCCCTCTCTGTGGTTTCCACCAACTGGTATTCAGAAGCAAGACAGAGCCATCATGGGTGGCGGCCATTGATAACCTTCTCCTTGATTGATTTGTCCAATTAAAGTTGATGGCCCTCTCTGCCTCCTGTGGAGGTGAATCCCATAGTTTAATTATGTGCCATGTGAAGAAATTTATCTTCCTGAATCTTCTGATGTTCAGCTTCACTGGACATCTACGAGTTCTAGTGTTACTAGAGAGAGAGAGAGAGAGAGAGAGAGAAATATGATTTTATAAACTTTGATCCTGCTTCCTCTTCCCTGTCCCATAGTCGCCAATGTTAATCTGACAAAAATCAAGAAGTGTGTCTTTCGGAGCAGCGCTGCCACGCAAGTCAGCTGGCAATTGCGAGAGTGCGGCACCAAAAGACGTGCGTCTTCCTCACTCTCGTGGGAGCCAGCTGACTCACGTGAGAGCGTGGCACCACTGCAAGCACCCACTCATCACCAGGACGTTCCAGGATCAAATCAGAAGCCAGGCAGATAGGGACGGATGGGGGTTACGCTGTTCTCTAAATTTAAAGGTCACAAACACTGCAACCTTTCCTATCCCCTTTATCATTCGTGTTGCCCTTTTCCAACTCTACAATATCCTTTTTGAGGCAAGCTGACCAGAACTGTACATAGCATTCCATATGCGATCGCACCATAGGTTTGTATAATGGCAGTTTTATTTTCAGTTCCTGCCCTTATCATCCTTAACATGGATTTTGCCTTTTTCACACCTGCCACACGTTGGGTCGACATCAGAGATAGACTGCATCCGAACCTGGAGGTTCTACTAGTTTCTTGCGGCTAATAGTTGTCGAGAGACATCTCTTTCCTAGCAGATATGTCTCAACTCCTTCCAAAGCCGGTGGCCGTGTGGCCACACCTTGTGGGTCAGGATTCCAGAATTATGCGCTGTCGAAGAATTTCAGAACGCTACGCTGGTCGACTTTCTTTCTGCTCATTGCACTCCCATTAAAAAGACCCAAAACCCTGCCGAGAAAGAAAATGGTGACAGCTGTTGTCCTTCATGAGGACTCGGCCACACCCAACAGCGCAGGGTTGGGGCCTTGTCGAAACCCAGCCCTTTTGCAACGGAAACACAACGCAAAATGTCGAGGGAAAGTTCTCAAGTGCGTGATTGAAAGATCACACGCCGACAAGCCCAAGCAGGTGAGCAAAAGGCTTCCAATGCGCTGAGGTCAGCTTGGCCGCACCTATTGGTTATTTTTAGCAGAGTGGCGCTTCCTAAATTGCAAGGAGCCTGGTCTCGGGTAGGCAGCTCAACATGCCTTGGGGCCTTTCTCTCCTCAGATCTTTGCTTGTCCAAATATGGGCACAGATTTGCTTAACATTTGCATGTGACAGTCTATATGGATCGTTGTGAACTTTTCAGTTGATTGCAACTGATATAGAACAAGGAGACCCTGAAGACCTGGGGGGGGGGGGGCATGGATGCTAACAGGATTTCCTGGGCCCAGTACATTGTATGGGGATTGCTGCCCCACTTATTGAAAAGATCTGCTGCTTCTTTGCATATCTTAACTTAGCCTAGCCTCCCTGACAGGACTGTTGTAATCAGTTTGGTTTCTTCACTGCTAATTGAAACTCTCCAGGCCTCTCTCTCTCTGGCCCTCACGATGCCAGAATCAGGCCTTTAGTGGGGCAGCCCCTTCCTTCTGCAACATCCTCCTGCCTCTTATTGCCTTTTCGGTGCTTACCAAGTACCTTCCAATTCTAGCAAGAGTTTTCCTTTTAAATCCCAACCTGCATTGTACTGGATTTGAAACGGTTGTTGTTTATGTCCGTCGGTGTTTTCATTAAAGGTTTCCTCGTGTTACAAAACAAGCAAACAAACAGAGAAAAATACACATAGCATCTCCAATTTCAATCCTTAGAGCCTTTTCCACAGTTCACTAACGTGAGGTATGAGACACTACTGCAATGTTTTTCATTGTTAAATCGCTTTGGGGTGCTTGTTGGCAACCTCAGATGCGGCCCTCGAGACCTCCTGTCTGGTCCTTGGGACCCCAGCTCTGCCAAAGCCCTCACCAGTGTTCCTTTGTACTCTCCTTGAGCATTTCTGTCTGACTGGAACATGTCCTTGAACTCTGATGATAAGATCCTAAGAAGAACCCGCTGGATCAGGCCAGTGGCCCAGCTAGTCCAGCATCCTGTTCTCACAGGGGCCAAGCAGATGCCTCTTCTGGGAAACCCACATGCAGGACCTGCGCACCAGAGCCCTCTCCCCTCCTGTGGTTTCCAGTAACGTTAAAAAAAAATAAATGGTAAAGGATCCCTGGATGGTTAGGTCCAGTCAAAGGCAACTACAAGGTGCGGTGCTCGTCTCGCTTTCAGGCCAAGGGAGCCGGTGTTTGTCCACAGACAGCTTTCCAGGTCATGTGGCTAGCATGACTAAGCCGCTCCTGGCGCAATGGAACACCGTGACGGAAACCAGAGCGTACGGAAACACCGTTTACCTTCCCACCACAGTGATACCCAGTGCTTTTTTTCTTAAAAAATGTTTAGGGGTACTCTCATTTTCCTACTCATATTGAAATACTGCCCCTCAATGAGGCCAAACTTAGATTCACAAAATGTTTAGGGGTATGCGTGCCTACCCCCAGAAAGAAAAAAAGCACTGGCGGTACCTTCCGTATTTTTTCCATGTATAAGACGATGCTTTTTGCTAAAATAAAGAAATAGGCAAAAATTGGGTGTCGTCTTATACACGGATAGTGAATGCAGAGGGGGGACGTGCGATTAATGGCAACAGCAAGCAGTAGATTAGCAGCAGCGATTGGGTGGGTGATTGGTGGCTGAGGCAAGGCCTGCTGGCGATTGGCTGCGGCTGCGGCAATTGGGCAGGCAATTGGCGGCTGTGGCAAGTGGGAGGGTGGGCGGTTGGTGGCAGCGAGTGGGCAGACAATTGGCTGCAGCAAGGTGTGCGACCGGCAGTGGCTGTGGCAAGCAATTGGCAGTGGCGGGCAGGTGGGTGAGCGATTGGCAGAAGTGACCCACCCCCAAAGCTAAACAACTTAATTTCTTAATTTTGGGTTAAAAAAAAATAGGGGTTGTCTTATACATGGAAAAATACAATATTTATCTACTTGCACTGGAATGCTTTCAAACTGCTAGGTTGGCAGGAGCTGGAACGGAGCTCATCCCCTCACGGGGATTCAAACCACCAACCTTCTGATTGGCAAGTCCAAGAGGCTCAGTGGTTTAGACCACAACACCGCCCACATACTTGGTTTCTAGTAGCTGGTATTCGGAAGCATTGCTGTCTCAAGCTGTGGTGGCAGAGCGGAGCCATAATAGCCTTCTTCTCTTCCTCCATGAATTTGCCCATTCCTCTTTTAAAGCCATCCAATTTGGCTGCCATCCCTGCCTCCTGTGGAAGGGAGTTCCACAGTTTAACAGTTTAAGAAGTCCTTTCTTTTACCTGTCCCGAATCTTCCAAAATTCAGCTCCACTGGATGCCCATGAGTTCTAGTGTTATGAGAGGGAGAAAAATTAAGATTTGACAAACTTTTCTCTTATTTCCAGCGGCAGGAAGGAGTCCCATCCGGTGGGGTTGGGGTGGGAATCCCCAAGCACCAGTGTCCAGGTCTGTGTATCCAGGGTGGAGCTCATATGTTAGCGCACTGGGTGACTCAAACCCTTTCACACTTCAGTGGCAGAGAAATATTTTCAATCTCGCCCAGCCCTGCTTTAGGATTTCCATGTTCGGATCTCCAAAGGGCTGCTTCTTTCTTTTTTCAAGATTTATTTACGCAACATCAAGTTGGCACACGCAGACCTTTTGTACATAGATTCTATTGGCAAAATTAACTCTCCTTTTGTGTAACATGCGCCTAAAAGTAAATAAAAGAAAAATAAGAACAGGAAAATTCAGGAAATGAAAAGAAGAACAGTAGATCTGTTTAAGAACATAAGAGCCTGTGGGTTCAGGCCCAGGGCCCCTCTAGTCCAGCATCCTGTTCTCGCACTTGCCAACCTGATGCCCATTATGGGAAAAGCAGGATCTGAGCCTAAGAGCCCTCTCCTCTTCTCTGGCTTTCAAAAGCATTCCTGCCTTTTCTCTAAGCTAAAATTTCCCAAATGTTGCAGCCTTTCTTCATAGGACTGATCTGTCCCCACCTTTATTATTTTGGGTCCCCTTTTCTGAACTTTTGCCAACTCTGCAATATCCTTTCTGAGGCGAGGCGACCAGAACAATTTAAGCTTCAGTTCCTTCTCCTGTGGCAATAAAACTGTGATGTAACATACATGTCTGATCCCTGCCAAAGGCAACATGTCTTGCGTCCAGCACCAAATTTGAACAGTGCTGGATTCAAGAAAACAGGTGGGCATGGGGGGGCGAGTCTGCATTATATTATTATTGTCATTTATTTATTTATTTGAAAATGTCCCACATCTTCTACACACATGGTGGGTAAACATACAAAAACCCAGCCTTTCTGGAATTTGATATTCAGAGAAATTAATAACGAAACAACAATGGGCAGTCGAACCAGAATTAGCTTTATTAAATGTATTTCAAGACAACAATCTGGATTTCCATAGTAAAGAATGAATAAGCCATTTATTACAAGTGGCAACATGCAACATACTGGAGAGACCTTTCTGGCACAATGATAGACAATCAGTACAAAACAGTTTGAGAAACAGCCCTCCTTCAGAGATTAACAAATATACTATGGTTGGCAGGTGGACAGATGGCCTGTGGTTGAATTTCATGACATATCCTTCATTGGGGGGTTTTAAGTAGAGGTAGGATAGCCACGGCCCTTGGGACCCCAGCCAACTCTAGTTTTATGAGTCTATGCCGGTATTCCAGAAAATAAACAATTTTCGCTCACCCTATCAGCATTTGTCTCAATCTGGTTGATCTAAATTGAAATTTAAATGTAAATTATAATCTTCACTTGGAACCCCCTCCCCCATTTATCAATAGACCAACACTTTATATATTTTTTCCATTGGTAACATAAGAAGAACAATGAGTATTACTCATACTTAATCGAAGCACAACCACGAGGGCTCCTGATTGGACTTTTATCTATGCGATGCTGAATGTTCCCTGATAATTCTGTTCTATCCTGTTTCCCATCTTTATTTCTTTAAACCAAGAACCTTTACATTGATCACTAACGCACCATATGTCGCAGATATCGCTGCAAATTTATTGTGTTGTTTTTTGTGTTATACAAATGACACGATAAGACTTGGTCTCTTTATTCGCATCATTTATTATCTCCAGGACTGTTGTTTACCAAACCCAATAAAAAGTCATTTAAAGAAAAGGAAAGGAAAGGAAAAAAGAGGAAACAATCACAGCCAGCTTAGTAACGTGACGTTCGAAAAAATGAAAGGAGGACAGGCTTATATTGCTGAGTGGAAGAATAAAACCTGGAGAAGGAAGGTGGTCAAGGTAGTGGGATTAAGTTGTGAGTGTTGATGTAACAGGGCTACTTTTGGTGGCTGTCTGGTCTGGATGGAATCAGACTGGAAACAGACATGGGAAGGCAGAGCCACACTTAAAGTATGTTCGCAGTGCACATTTCAAGCACACAACTTCCCCCAAAGAATTATGGGAACTGTAGTCTTCCCGTTGCACAGCTACCGTCCCCAGCGAGCCTAGCAAACTACAGTTCCCAGAGTTCTTTGGGGGAAGTCATGTGGTTGAAATGTGCGTTTTAGACGTAGGGTGTGCATTGATCTGCCCAGAGACCCAACCGGGGGTGGGGGTGGGGGCTCTAGGAAGCAGGGCTGAGGTGGTGGGGGCTTGGCATGTCCATGGCAGGGGGAGGGGGAGGCGCAGGAGGGGCAGGAGGGATGTGGTGCGTATCATAGCGGCTGCCTTGGAAGGGGTCTTGGCGCGGGGGCTCCTCTTGGTTTTCCGGTGGGCCTGGGCGGCAAAGCTTGAAGCTGGAGAGAGAGAGAGAGCACAGAGCATGAATGTCGGAGGAAAGCTGGGAATGACTGCCTTCTTATACTGAGTCAGATCACTGCTCCATTTAGCTCAGTACTGTCTACACGGACTGGCAGTGGCTCCCAGGGAATTCAGGCAGGGAGCCTCTCCAAGCCCAAACCGGAGGCGCTGGGGCTCAAACCTGGGATCTTCTGCCTGCGAAACAGATGCTCTCCCATGGAGGTTTGACCTTAGCCTTGCAACTCAGTGGTGCTTACATCTGACAGCATGCGTTCGTTCATTTTTTAAATATATTTTGAAATATCCCACTTAAGAAGGAGAAGAAGAGTTTGGATTTGATATCCCGCTTTATCACTACCCTAAGGAGTCTCAAAGCGGCTCACAATCTCCTTTCCCTTCCTCCCCCACAACAAACACTCTGTGAGGTGAGTGGGGCTGAGAGACTTCAGAGAAGTGTGACTGGCCCAAGGTCACCCAGCAGCTGCATGTGGAGGAGTGGGGAAGTGAACCCAGTTCACCAGATTACGAGTCTACCGCTTTTAACCACTACACCACACTGGCTCTCTTAATATAAGCACAGATCTACCAGCGGTTTACATGCAAAGCAATGCAAGTGCAACTCAGTACTGCTTGTAAGAAAACGCTGAGCTTTAGCAAAATGTGACACAGCTGCTGTTTGAACTGCTAGCCTGAATCAGGAATCCCATCAAAGGAAAGGGAAAACGTACCTAGCCTGTGGGTTGGATGGTTTTCCTCATCCTCCGACTCCCTCTGTGCTAACAAACCTGAAAGTCCCGTTATGAGAGGAGCAGGGAGGGCCTGTTGATCACTTTGGTGTTTTAGCAGAAGGCCTCACTGGGGTAAAACCCGGGACTTGCCCTCTACCACAATCCCCCTCCAGTACCCCACTAAGCTTGCCGGCTTCTCTCAAATCTAGGATGCCAGGCAGCAAAGTCTTACCATTCATAGCTGACGGTGCTTAGGAAGCCAATGGTGACAACCCCACAAAGGGCAGAGAGAATAGTGGTGATGACGATCATGTCTCCACTGCGACGTCCAGGCCAGGTATCCACTGTCTCCCACGCTTCACCTGAAAGGGATAACAAAAGGAGGCAATTTTCTTATCGGTTCCTCAGTTGCCTGAAATTCTGGGGAGCAGCTGCCAGTCAGTGTAAACAATATTGAGATAGATGGTCTGACTCAGGTGCCTTTGTGAGGACTCTGCCAGTTACCCTGCCCGCTTGGTCAGCTTATGGTGACAGGGCGCCATGTTGCCCTTTACCTCAGGTGGCAAATCACATTGAGCAGCCCATATCTTCTCTGCGAGCCTCTTTCTTTTATAACATACCTCCTTTCAATGGAATTGGAGCGGACCACTTTGTTTCAGCTTTCGGTCCTTTGGAATCCATGATAAGGAATTTCACTCTGAGGAGGAATTTAAAAAGAGACAGAGGTGGGTAAGTGGAAATATCAGGGATGTCTTACTAAACTTTATTGGAACAAATCTAGCCTTGGTTTCTCTCTGTCTCTCGTTTTCCCAGCCTTGAATTTGGCTTTTCACATTTCCATATCACCCTGCCTTAGGAAAATTCACTTGCATTTCCCCTAATAAACACAGGTTCGTATGCAGTCTTGCTTAATATACACATTCTTTGCAAGATGTATTCCCCCTACTATTTATATTTCCCCTAATATAAAGCATTGGTGTATGTTATTTTTGCTAATATACTCATTCTTCTGCATGTTTTACCCCAGTATATGCATTTGTGTATGCATAACTTAACCAGAAAAGTGCAAATTTCAGAGGATGGCTGGAATTTTTTTAGTTTGCATGTTCTTTTGGAAATAATTATGTGGGTTCACCTTTCAATGTAAACTGAACCCAATCTCATGGAACCACCTTCGCCATTGGGGCCTGGTGACGACCCCAAGATCTCCTGCAATGATTTTGCAAAGTTCTTTGCAGATAAAGTCGCTCAGATTCAGAAAGAGGTAGACTCCACCGTGGGAGCAGGGCTGGGGCGGGAGAGTGCTAGAGCCCTGTCCAGTCAAGTTGTGTGGGATCAATTCCAATCTGTTACCTCTGAGGTTGTGGACAGGCTGCTTGGATGAGTGAAACTAACCACCTGTCTCCTTGATCCTTGTCCATCCTGGCTTATAAAAGCGAGCCAGGAAGGGCTGGGCGATGGGCTCCAGGGGGTGGTGAATGCTTCGCTCAGTGAGGGAGCCTTCCCAGACCTGCTGAAAGAGGCAGTTATTAAACTGCTTCTTTAAAAAAAAACATATTTGGACCCGGCCAATATGGCCAACTATCACCCAGTCTCAAATCTTCCATTCTTGGGAAGGTGATTGACCTGGTGGTTGCTGAACAACTCCAAGCACCCTGGAGGATGCGGACCATTTTGATCCCTTCCAGTCGGGATTCAGGCCTCACCATGGGACTGAAACAGCCTTGGTTGCACTGGTCGATGATCTCTGGCGGGCTAGGGAAAAAGGTGAAAGCTGTTTCCTAGTCCTGCTGGATCTCTCAGCGGCCTTTGATACCATTGACCATGACATCCTTCTGGATCGTCTAGAGGGGCTGGGAGCTGGGGGCACTGTTATACAGTGGTTCCGCTCCTTCCTCCTGGGCCGTGTCCAGAAAGTGGTGTTGGGGGGATGAGTGTTCAGACCCCTGGACTCTCACTTGTGGGGTGCCTCAGGGTTCTGTCTGTTTTTAACATCTACATGAAGCCGCTGGGAGAGATCATCAGGGGGTTTGGGCTGGATGTCCATCAGTATGTGGATGATACCCAGCTCTAGCTCTCCTTCAAATCAGAACCAGTGAGGGCAGTGAAGGTCCTGTGTGAGTGTCTGGAGGCGGTTGGAGGATGGATGGCAGCTAACAGATTGAGGCTGAATCCTGACAAGCAGAAACACTGTTATTGGGGGACAGGAGGCAGGCAGGTGTGGAGGACTCCCTGGTCCTGAATGGGGTAATTGTGCCCCTGAAGGACCAGGTGTGCAGCCTGGGAGTCATTTTGGACTCACAGCTGTTCATGGAGGCGCAATTCTGTGTCCAGGGCAGCTGTCTACCAGTAGGCAAGCTAAGACCCTCCCTGCCCGCAGACTGTTTCACCAGAGTAGTGCATGCTCTAGTTATCTCCTGTTTGGACTACTGCAACGTGCTCTATGTGGGGCTACCTTTGAAGGTTACCTGGAAACTGCAATTAATCCAGAATGCAGCAGCTAGACTGGTGACTGGGAGCAGCCGCCGAGACCATATAACACTGGTCCTGAAAGACTGGTGTTATAGGCTCCCAGTATGTTTCCAAGCACAATTCGAAGTGTTGGTGCTGACCTTTAAAGCCCTAAATGGCCTCGTCCCAGTATACCTGAAGGAGCGTCTCCACTCCCATTCTAATCAGGAAGCTCCAACTTGCTCAATAAATGTCAATCTAAACTTTCTCTGCAAGGGAGACTCTCACCTGATCGCAGGGCGGAGGCCTTTACTGTATCTTCCAGGCCTGTGTTTAAAATAGGAGACTGGCTGGCCCTGACTGCACCCATAATAAGCTCCTTCGCCTGAGGCCTCGTTCCAGTCCCTCAGAAATGTCAACTCACGTGGAGTGCAATGTGGAATTTCTGGCTGAACAGATCTGCCCTGCCATGGATGTTTGGGTAGAGGGATGGTTCTGAGCCATCAGAAACTCAAGGTGCCTCAGGCTTCAAACAAGCCAGGACTGACGACACAGTCGCTTCATTTCTAAGAGGGGTGTGTGGCGTTTTCAGACATCTCTGGAAGCCATGTTTTAATTTTATTATAGTTTAATTACTTTTTAATGATTGTCTTGGAGCTTTCTATATTTTATCGGTGTTGCTTTAATTTGCGTAAGCTGCCTTGAGCCCTGGTTTGAGGGAAAGACGGGATAATAATAATAATAATAATAATAATAATAATGTTAAGAGTTTGAGGTGTTAGGTTGTATGCCGAGACCCTTCCAATCCCTGGATCCAGCGAGTGTTAGAAATTAATCAGACTTCTAATTATTGGAAGAGCCAGGCTAGCCTTCTGGTGGAAGTGATAGCCTGGGTGATGAGCCATTAAAGGGAACAAAGGAAAGGGGCTCTGTGTGAGATGGCCAGTGGGTGAAGCCCCTCCCTCAACTCCAGGTAGTTAGAAAGACAGAGCGAGAGTTGCGAGCAGAGAGATGCAGTGATGTGAGCTAGAGGCAAAGCAGCAAACTGGGAAGACAGAGAGAAAGAAAGAGAGAGAGAGAGATGTTTGGTTTCTGTCTGAATCCAGGGCTGCGTCCATACGGGAAGCAAGGCCCCATTGGAGTATTAATGCTGTGAGCCCCTCCATCGTAGGCTCAGGTTGTATATATGTGTCAATAAACTATTATACCCTAAAGACACCACGGACTCCGCAGTGCCACATTTCCAAAAGGGAACATGATCCCTGGGGAAGCGCCTGGAACCCCTGGAATCTCGCATCACTCAGAGATTGGGGTGGCAAGCAACAACAATAATAGTTGAATTGGCTAAGGGTCTCTGCCTGAGTTTCCCATGCAAATTCAGCTCCTCTGCTCTGCATCAAGTCAGCTGATGAATTGTTACCTGAAAGAAGCAGGAGAAGGCAGCGGCCCATTGCAGCTGGTCTGGGTGTCGTCGTTCTTGCAAGACGATTCACCTCCTACCCGGAGGACGGTATTGGGATTACTGGCTTTGCAGTACTGGGCGGGGGTGGACTTCATGGTCATGTAGCCGTGAGAGGTGAACAGAGCTTCGTATGGCGGGATCTCTTGAGGTGTTTTGGGGTTCTTGAATCTGGCTGTGGCTGTTGGGTGGAGGAGGCATAGCGGGGGCAGGAATGAAACATTTTGCTGGTGAAGGAATATTTCTGTAAGGACCAAGACAGCCCCCTCTGCTTGTAGAATACTTCCAGCCTCATATAACCAACATGCTTAACCTAATTAATGCACTAAGGGGTTAATATCATAGAGTAAGCTGTCCTGCCAGGCTTAGCGAGGTCACACCCCATCACCTTGGGAGAAAGGACTACCAAACTCTTCTTAAACCTTTCCCCCATGTGAACCAACCAGTAAGGATGCTTAGGCTGGTTGCTCCAAACCCAGACTGCATGTTTTTAGCAAGCCATCTTTGTGTTTCTATCAGGACCAGATTTAGGTTTGATGAGGCCGTAAGCTACTGAAGGTAAGGTAAAGGTAAAGGGACCCCTGACCATTAGGTCCAGTCGTGGCCGACTCTAGGGTTGCGGCACTCATCTCGCTTCATTGGCCGAGGGAGCTGGTGTACAGCTTCCAGGTCATGTGGCCAGCATGACTAAGCCACTTCTGGCAAATCAGAGCAGCGCACGGAAACGCCGTTTATCTTCCTGCTGGAGCGGTACCTATTTATCTACTTGCACTTTGACGTGCTTTCGAACTGCTAGGTTGGCAGGAGCAGGGACTGAGCAACGGGAGCTCACCCCATTGCGGGGATTCGAACCGCCGACCTTCGGATCGGCAAGTCCTAGGCTCTGTGGTTTAACCCACAGCGCCACCCGTGTCCCTCTGCTGAAGGTAATGGGGCCCTTTATATGTCCAGCTGTCCTTTGTCAACAACAAATTGCAGCTGCTTTCTGTATGGTATATGGTAATTTATAGACCTAATAGGTATCTAAAGCAATTTGCACATAACAAAATATGTATTTTATCAAAGTAATTGTTGAACTGAAATACAATTAAGAAAAAGTATATTAATATTAAAATTGGGAGGGGGCACTCCCTAAGCTATAGCTTGTTTAGCTTAGACATAAAATTTAGAAACATTTACCATTTTGTAACCTAAATTAAGCTGTCTGTCTTTTCTTGCTGCTTCAAGTTGATTTATTTATTGCTGAAAGCTTGCAGCCCTGCTTTTAAGGTGGTTACATTAACTGCCAACATGCCATTTCTACTTATCTACAACCCTGGCTTGCTAAAATATCTGAGTGCTGCAGCAACTCAGACTGGGAGAGATGTCAAAAATTAAAACTGGGAAATAGAAAAGTAAAAGTTGCAGGTAGTTTTGAGTTGACAAGGGTTTAAATTGAGACCCCACCCCCCTCTAACCCCATTGTCCAGATTTTGGTGGGCTCTACAAAAAGCTCACCGCAGACTCACCGTTTGCGTACGTGACCACCAGCCAGATACTGTCCGAGGCATTGGCAAATCGGTCAAAAATGCAGTGGGGTAGCGTCAGGGCGAAGGTGCTTTGAGTGGTTTTCCCTTCCAATGGCTTGTTGGAGACAGAAGGGGTGTAGGAGATCGTCTCTGAAAATACACAGGGAGATTCAGTGGGTTCCTACTCCCAGATGCAGAAAACTGTGAGGTACACAAACAGACGCCATCAGAAGGGCATCAGGAGACGCCTGCAGCTGCATCGGGCCAAAGGGGGCCAGGCATCCAGTTCTCACAGCAGCCAGCCAGACACTCCAAAGGGAAGTGAGGCAGTGTGATCTAGTGGTTAGAGCACTGAGACTTAGGGCCTGGGGAGACCAGGGGTCGAACCCCCACTCGGCCATGACGAAGCTCACTGCGTGGCCTTGGGCCAGTTACTGTCTCTCGACCTAACCTACCTTCCAGGGTTGATGTGAGGATAAAACAGAGAGAGAGAGAGAACCATGCATTTATTGATTGATTACAGTGGTACCTCGGGTTAAGAACTTAATTCGTTCCAGAGGTCCGTTCTTAACCTGAAACTGTTCTTAACCTGAAGCACCACTTTAGCTAATGGGGCCTTCAGCTGCCGCTGCACCGCCGCAGCACGATTTCTGTTCTCATCCTGAAGCAAAGTTCTTAACCTGAGGTACTATTTCTGGGTTAGCGGAGTCTGTAACCTGAAGTGTTTGTAACCTGAAGCGTCTGTAACCCGAGGTACCACTGTACATTTATGCGGCACCTCCTCCTTCAAGGAGCTCAAGGTGGTGTACATGATTCCCCCATTTTATCCTCAGAGAAACCATGTGAAGTAGATTAGGCTGAGGAATGTTGACTGGCAGGGCTTTTTTCCCTCCCTTAAAAAAATGTTTAGGGTTACTCTCATTTTGACTCAAAGAAAACCACCATTTTATGGTTCAGATCGGGGAAAATAAATACAGTAAATGGACAAAAGTACAAAAACATTTTGTGAATCTGTGTATCCCCAGAAAAAAAATCACTAGTGACTGGCCCAAGTTCACCCAGTGAGCTTCCTCATTGCTGAGTGGGGATTCGAACCCTGGTCTCCCAGGGGCTGATCCAACACTCCTACTGTTACACCACGCGGGCTTTCCTTGCTGCCTTGAGCTCCTTGCAGGGAAAGTGGGAGGCAGATGGAATAAATAAATAAATAAGTAAATAATCCCCCAATCAGGACCAGGGGCATACTGCCTTGACCGTGGAGAGAAGACATTGTCATCACAACTAGTAGCCATTGTTATCTTTATCCTCCACGACTGTGTCTAAGCCCACCTTTAAAGTTTAAACAAACTACTAACTTCCCCCAAATAATTATGGGATCTGTTGCTTCTTAAAGGTGATGATAGTTGTTAGGAGACCCCCCCATTCCCCTCCCACAGCTACAATTCCCAGAGTTCCCTGCGAAGCAGGATTGTTAAAACACTCTAGGAATCGTGGTTCTTTGAAGGAATTAAGGGTCTCCTGACATATCTCAGCACCCTCAACAAACCACGGATCCCATAGTGGTATTATAGTGCTTTGAACATATGGTGGGAATGGGGCCTTTATCCAATAATCCCATGTATAAATTTACACAAGACAAGCTCCTCTTTTTTCTGGACAGATCAACCAGGCACCTCCCCCCAACTCCTTCTGTGCCCCCCAAATGGCCATGTAATCTAGTGTTTCTCCAACAGCTCTGGATACCTCTGAGATGCAAGACACCCTGGCATAGGTGCCAACTGTACCCCTCAGAATGGGAGCCCCCCATGGTACGATCCTTCCTCTCTCCAGTGATCTTAGAAGATGGATTTTCAAGAAAACCTGGACCACATTCACACTATACAATACTACTTTAAACAGACATGGCTTCCCCCAAAGAATCCTGGGAGCTGTAGTTTGTTAAGGGCACTGAGAGTTGTTAGGAGACGAATATAATGGTACCTCAGGTTACATACACTTCAGGTTACAGACTCCGCTAACCCAGAAATATCACCTTGGGTTAAGAACTTTGCTTCAGGATGAGAACAGAAATCGTGCGGTAGCAGCAGGAAGCCCCATTAGCTAAAGTGGTGCTTCAGGTTAAGAACAGTTTCAGGTTAAGAACGGACCTCCAGAACGAATGAAGTACTTAACCCGAGGTACCACTGTATATGGAAAATGATGTATAGATGGTATTTGACGCCAACTAAATTCGCAAAAAATGTATAGAACATCTGATAATTTATGTTGGAAATGCAAAGAAAAAGAAGATAACTTTCACCATATGTGGTGGACTTGCCCTAAGGTTTTGAAAGCATACTGGGACATGATCTATAATGAACTTAAGAAAGTGTTTAAGAACATATTCCATATTTCTCGTTAGGTATTTTAGGAGAAGAGATCCCTAAGAAAGACCATACTATATTCTTATACGCAACAACAGTGGCAAGGATTCTTTTAGCCCAGAAGTGGAAACAGCAAGAAACTCCGACAGTCGAAGAATGGCAGAACAAGATGATCGAATATACAGAGATGGCAAGACTGTACGTGAAAATCCGAGACCAGAGAGACCAAGAATTTGAAAAAGACTGGAGTAAATTTATTATTTATTTGAAAGAACATTGTAAATGTTTAACAACACTAACAGGACTGGCTTAAAGGTTTGTCAGTTAAAATTAGAAACTTATTTACAATGATAAGGAGTCTTAAAGTAAAAGGAAAGGTAGATGTGGGGAATGAGAAATGCGGATGAAATTATAATTGGAAGTTAGAAAGTCAGTTGGGTGGGATGGGGCGAAGTCGTTGACTCGAGAATATAGGTAATGTAAAGATATGTAAAATCACATGGTGTTTTTTGAAAATGAAAATACCAATAAAAATTATAATTTAAAAAAGGAGTTGTTAGGAGGTCCTTATTCCCCCCACCCCAGTCAAAGAGCTAAAATTCCAGGAGTTCCCTCTTGCCTGTTAAGCCACTCTGGGAATTGTAGCTCTGCCAGGGGAAAGAGGTGGAGTGTTTGTTAAACAGCCAGTGTGGTTTATTGGGTAGAGTCTCTGACTAAGATCTCGGAGACAAGGGTTCAAATCCGCCCCCTTCCCCCAAACGGCCATGAAGCTCACTGGGCAACCTGGGGGTATGGGGCAGTCACTGCCTCTCAGCCCAATCTACCTCACAGGGTTGTTGTGGGGATTAACTGGGGAGAGGGAGACCCACGTACTTCAGCTCCTCAGAGAGGCAAGGTGGGATAGAGACAAAGTAAATAGATAATAAACTCTCAGCATTCTTCACAAACTACAGCTCACAGAATTCTCTGGGGGAAAGCCGTTACTATATAAAATGATATGACAGTAGTTTAAATGTATGGTCTGGTTCCATTTCCAAGTCCTCCTGGTTAACTGGGCAAAGGGTAGGTGGTTTGCTGCCTGAGGCAAAGCAGCAACCAGTGATCCTGCCCTCCCCAATAGAGATGGGCAAATCTATCAAGTTCTACTTCTCGTTTTTCTCTTCTTCAAGTCTCCACATTTCCACATCAGATTTAAAAAAGAAAACAACTTGCCATGAAAATTTGGTAGCATTGAAGTTTGAATTTCTCCAAATCTACATGTTTTTATGCAATTTGACCTTTCTTTTTCTTTTTACAAAGCAATATGGGATAGAATGCATGTTTTAAGTATCTTTCCTTCACGGATCTATGCAGATTTTATGCATATTTTACCACAGTACTTGCATTTTCGTACCATTTATTCAGTTGGAGAATGACACTACAAAATTTGGAGAAGTGTGAATTCTGAAGGATGGATGCGTTTTGGTTCAAGCATTGTTTCAGGAAGAGCAAATTTATCTTTAAAGAGGAACTGAATCAAATTTATTCCTTCCATTCCGCCTACCCTGGTCATCATCTCTCAGGGTGCATCAAACTTCCAACATTCAACTTTGTTCGAGGTCCACAAATTCTAGGGAGAAAAACTTTCTTCTGCCTAATTTTATAAACTTCTATCATGCTGCCTCTTACTCAGCTTTTCCTCTAAACTAAAAAAAATCCCAAGCACTGCTCCACACACATATGCCACATTTTAAAGCAGAGTCTTTCCCCCAAAGAATCATGGGAACTGTAGTTTCCCCCTCACAGAGCTACAACCCCCAGCACTTTGCAAATATACAGTTCCATACCCTCCAACATTTCTCTGATTAAAATAGGGATGCCTCATTCCACAATAAAAATTAAAATAATATTTTTATTATTATTTATAGCCCACCCATCTGAATGGGTTGCCCCGGCCACTCTGGGCAGCTACCAACACATATAAAAATGCAACAAAACATTAAACATTACTAAATTTAAAAAATCTTCCCTATACAGGGCTGCCTTCAGATGTCTTCTAAAGGATGTATATAGTTACTTATCTCCTTGGCTCAGGGGTCGCATAACTCCATACCCTCCAACATTTCTCTGATGAAAATAGGGACATTCTAAGGAAAATCGGAACATTCTGGAATCAAATCATAAAATGGGACGGCTTCTGTAAATCCAGGACTGTCCCTGGAAAATAGGGACACTTGGAGGGTCTGCCGTTCCCAGGATTCTTTGAAGGAACTACCCCAAAATCCTGGGGATGGGTCAGAATATATATAAAATTATCTTTAAAATTCACAGTGTTACCAAACAATAGTCACCTATGCCAGTGACGGTCCCTCCAGCTGCCAGCAGCAGAAGCAGAAGGAAGGAGGCCATCTTCACACAGCCCGGATCTTCTCCAGATGTTTCTCCTCACTAAAACAGGAGATGGTCAGGGCCACAGAAACCGCTTCTCTTGCTGTCCTGGGTGCAAGTGAAGAGAGGACCACTGAGGTGAAAGATCTTCCTCCTCCTCCTCCTCAACAGGCTGGCTCTTTTTCTTTTTCTTTTTTCCCCTTTGCCTTCAGGGGCTGCCCTAGGCCCTTCCCCACTTTCCACATTCCTCCCAGCCTGTGTAAGGAGGATCTTGAGCCTGATAGTGAGCAGGTTTGTCTTCTTTTTATTCTGCCCCACCAAAAAAACACACACACAACAGCCACCAAGAGGAACATGGGAAGAGCTTGCCGGATGAGACCAGCAGCCCCTCTGGTCCAGGTGTGATGGATCAAGATGCTTCATAACCAAATCTGCCTTTTTGTCAAGAACAGGAGTTTTCTTGGACTGAGTTTCTCAACCTATTGTCGTTCCTGAATTTTATTTTATACCTTCCATCAAAAAATTAATACACAGGGAGGTCCCCTGTACATTCCCATCCAGGTATTAGCCAATCCTGGCTGCCCTTTGCTTGGCAAGACGGTTTTTTATTTATTAATAGTGCCCAGTGTTATTTTTTTCCAGAAAGAGAGAACTGACCATGAAGGCTTCCCTTTTTCTCTTTCAGAACCTCCAAGCGTCCCCGTTTCCCAGGGACAGTCCTGGTTTTATAAAAGCCACCCCACTTTCTGATTTGATCCCAGAATGTCCCACTTTTCCTTAGGACTATTGGAGAAATGTTGGAGGGTATGGAATAGGACCAGTGCCAGATTTACGTATAAGCTAAACAAGCTATAGCTTAGGGCCCCACTCTCTTGGAGGGACCCAAAAAATTAAAGGAAAGCAACAACTGGATGAACATTTCTAAAATATAAGATAAAAAACAAATAAAATAAAACCTACATACAACAACAGTGTTTTCTGTTGTGTAGGCTCCTATTTGTTATATGCAAATAGCTTTAGATACCTATTAGGTCCATAAAATACCATATAGCATATATTCAACACAAAAAACAGCGGCAATTTGTTATTGACAAAGGACAGCTGGACATATAAAGGGCCCCATTACCTTCAGTAGCTGAGGGCCTCATAAAATTCTGTTATTTGTACTGCCCAACAATTCATTAGACTACAGGTCCATACACTCCAACATTTTTCTGATTAAAATAGGGATGCCCTATCCCATAATTGTAGGAGTACCGGTAGTAGTAGTAGTGGTAGTAATTACTATTATTTTATTATTTGTACCCCACCCATCTGACTGGGTTGCCCCAGTCACTCTGGGTGACTTCCAACACATAAAAAAACATAATAAAACATTAAAAATAAACTTCCCTATAAATGGTCCATGAATGCTTTTAAGTTAAGAAATAAGCAATATTTGAGGGCGAATGTTTGTAGGTCCATCAACCAGGCCAGCGGAACACAGGAAAAGAACAGCGTGGCAGGTGGGAGACAGGAAAGGCAGAAACACTTGAAAAATGCCGCCAGACCTGTATGGATTGGGGAGTGGGTACACATATGTGCAAAAGTCCCAGCCATGCTACCTGTCACACAGGTTACGGACAAGGCTAGGGGGTAATGCTGCCAAACCAGTTCCACAAGGCTGGGTTGTACTGGGCAGTCCATTAATGTGGGCAGGCAGGTCAGAGCTGCCCCAAAGAGACTTGAGATTAAATGATGAGTAAACTCCCAAGAGCGCAGGGCACTCATTTGAAGAGGAGGGTGCCTGATGTCTCTCTGGATGATCCACTGCTTTGGGATTTCCTCCTTGCAGCCAAGCTTCTGCGGGGAGGGGGCAGAACGATAATGTCTCTGTGCCTTGGAAGCAAAGATGCCCTGGGACTGCTTCTACTCAGAGGAGGTAGCTCGCTCTGTCTCTGCACGCAAGTGTTCTGTCCTCCTTCCAATGAGCTCTTTTTGGGTTGGGTGAACCACCAAAAAATAAGACAAAATCCAGATATTCCCAAGGCTCACAGTCTACAACACTATAGGATGCTTGTTCTCGAACCTTTTCCTCTCTTTAAATTGGCGTTTTCACCCCTTGCCAGAGTGAGAAGGATGACTCACCAAGTGGCTGTGTTCGAATACAGTGGTACCTCGGGTTAAGAACTTAATTCGTTCTGGAGGTCCGTTCTTAACCTGAAACTGTTCTTAACCTGAGGTACCACTTTAGCTAATGGGGCCTCCCGCTGCTGCTGTGCTGCTGCTGCACCATTTCTGTTCTGATCCTGAAGTGGCGCTGTGGGTTAAACCACAGAGCCTAGGGCTTGCCGATCAGAAGGTCGGCGGCTCGAATCCCCGCGACGGAGTAAGTTCCCGTTGCTCGGTCTCTGCTCCTGCCAACCTAGCAGTTTGAAAGCACATCAAAGTGCAAGTAGATAAATAGGTACCGCTCTGGCGGGAAGATAAACAGCGTTTCCATGCGCTGCTCTGGTTCGCCAGAAGCGGCTTAGTCATGCTGGCCTCATGACCTGGAAGCTGTACGCCGGCTCCCTCAGCCAATAAAGCGAGATGAGCGCCGCAACTCCAGAGTCAGCCACGACTGGACCTAATGGTCAGGGGTCCCTTTACCTTTACTATTTCTGGGTTAGCAAAGTCTGTAACCTGAAGCGTCTGTAACCCGAGATACCACTGTACAGCAATGGTTACTATGTGTGGAATTCTGCAGCTGGAGGGCTGCATTTTTATTTTATTTCATTACTGTTAAGTGCAAGGGACTAGTCCTCATGACTCCTAAGGTAGGGTTTGAAAAGGAGGTGGGGCAGGGGAGTAGTTTAAACAAGACACTTGCATCCAGTTTTTCTCCACGTAGAATTTCCAACACTCACAGTAAAATGTTAGGAAGAAATCACCAGTTTCCAAGTTCTGTGCAAAAGTATTTATTGTTTAGAGGTTATTATGCTCTCCGTTCCCAGCAGCTGAGCATTTATGGTCTAGATTCAAAACTTTGTCAGGCTCATGAACCAAATAAGCCACACATAGCTCAGCTTTAGGACATTCATACAGATCAGCAAAGACAGCACAGGGGTAAGTCGGCTTTGCTTGAAGGCTGGGCCCGCTTTGATGTCAAAACCAACTTCCTAGTCCACAGGAGGCCAGAGAAATTCAAAAAGGTGTCTGAATTCTCAGAAGCTGGAGAAACTGGGAAGGTCTGCCAGTAGCTGGGAAAGAGAGAAAAGCCTGGATTGTTGAGCCCTGCCCATGGGGATATGAATCTCACGTTGGACAGAGATTTGATCTTCCATCTCCAATGTGGATCATATGTCTCCCTCTTATGGTCAACCTTGGCATAATCTTTATTCATTTGCTACGCTGCAATAAAAAATGGCAGCGGGCAATGAGTGTGAGCTTTGTCCCAATGGAAACTTCCACTCCTCCATTCCTTTGTCCAGTGCTTAAAGTGGGAAAATCACTCCCAAACTACAACACCCTTACCTTCCAAAATCTTAGGGATCAAAGTTATCTTTAGGCCTGATGGCGCTCCAGCAGTTACAAAATTTGATTGGAAAAGGGAATAAAGGGTTACACGTCATGTCTGAACAGGCTGCCAAGGCCCTGAAACTGCTTTTTGTTGACAAATCAGCACAGCCCCAAAATAGCGATTCAGATGGGGAGTTACCAAGAAACTTTGGTGACTCTGTGAGGATTCCAGCTCCGTAGCATTAAAACCAAGCAACCACATAATGGTTATACAATTCTCAGCATCCTGAGAATCTCAAATTTCAGGGGCTGAAGTTCTTTTGGTAAGCAAGTCCTTATGGCTGTGAAAATACACTTCAAAGTATGTAGGCAAAGACAGGCCATATTATCTCAGAAGGCTGAAAGGGTAGCTGAGTAAGACTTTACTTCTCCGTATGACTAGCATAGTAATAAAAATTATGCAGAATTATGGAGAATAACATTATGCAAACCTATTTGATTTGCATAACGCATGCAGGGTGTTAATTCCTGCTTTTACTGATGCAGGGGGTCTATTTTACTTCAGCTCCAAAGGACACAGAGCTGCCAGCAGCTTCTCTGTAGGTTGATGGCACATTTCAAGCAGAGTATTGGGATTCTAGTGGTCACGAGTGGCTCCTGTGGGAGAGAGTTCCACAATCCAACTATCTGCTGTGTGAAGGAGGACTTCCCTTGGCTGGGAGAGGAAGAAGAGCATCCCTCTATCCTTTTACTCCACGCGCCATGCATCGTTTAAACATCTTCCATCAAGTCCCCTCTCCTTTACTTGCCTTCCCACCCTGAATTCAGAAGCCCAAAGGCTGTAGCCTTTTCTCATAGGAAACTCATTTCAGGCGTTTGGGGCTGTTCTGGATGTCCTGCTCTGCACACTTTGGTGCACAGACTCATAGAGCTGAAAGGGACCTCAGAGGTCATCCAGCCTAACCTGCTTCCTGCCATGTGGGAGGCAATGGTGGCCTCCCTGAAAGGTCACCATCTGGTGGAGGAGAGCCCACCGCTTCCCAAAGAGCAACACCATCCTGGATCCCAGGCACGGAAAGAGACCTCCTAAATGAATGCTGCCCTGCCTCTACATCTCTCTGCACAGAGAAGATGAGCAGATCATGGAGAAGTCTCAACTACAGCTCTTCGCCCTGCTCTGCAAACTTCTGCACACAGGAAGTGACCTTGGAGGGCATATAACACGAGAAGATGCCGAATCAGGCCGACAGCCCATCTGGTCCAGCGTTCTGTTCTCGTATCGGCCAACTAGATAGCAAGCAGGATTCGCACACAAGAGCACTCTTCCCTCTTATGGCTTCCAGCAACAGGTATTGGGAAATGTTGCTGCTTCAAACTGTGGAAGCAGAGCATAGTCAATCATTGCCCTCTCCTCAGATATTTTGTCTTTTAAGGCCATCCAAAGCAGGCGGACATCACTGCCTCCTCTGGGAGGGAGCTCCGGGGTTTAACTCAGTGCTGCGTGAAGACAGACTTCCTTGCTCAAATGCAGGATCTGCAATGCAGGAGGAAGATGCAGCGCCCCCTGCAGGTTGCCACCCAGAGCAGGCAAGCCCACATTGCATGAAAGGCACCTCCAAGCCCCGCCTCCCCATCGGCAACCGCATACTGCGGAAGAAGGCAACGAGGGGAGAGTTAAAGTCACTGTCCTTTTATGCATTTCTTCTATACAGGGGGGAGAAGGTTTCGCTGCGTACATTCAGGCTGGGCTAAGCCCTTAGAAAGATACAAAACGGAGTAGAGAAACCTCCTCCCTGCAACCAGGCGATCCCAGAGACAGCATTATTGCTCAGAGAAAGGGGGCAAGCGAGCTTAAGGCAACAGGGGCAACTGGCTGTAGCGGCGGCGACCCTCGAGAGGGGTGCCTGCAGTCCGAAGGTGCAGGAGCGGGCTCCATCCGACTGACGCGGGTGATCAGGATCTCAAGCAGTCCTCCGTGACCCCCTGAGCTGCCAGCTCGGCTAGCACATTGTCCAGGTAGTTGGGGTCTGGATAGCCGTGCCCCGAGGTGTTGGAGTCCATCTCTGTCTTGTGGTGGATCTCGTTCCACACCACGGTGTTGCTTTCTCCTGTTGTGCTGGACGTCCCAATGGTGAAGATCAGTCTCCTCCTCCAGGCCACCTTCAAGAGCTCCAAGACCTGGCAAGAGGGAGGGAGGGAGGTCACTCAAAACTGACTTGCTGATTCAATGGAGGCCATCTCTGCTGGTGACACTGTGTGGCCGTGAAGCCAAATCAGAGTGAGGGCGTTAAGCTTTGCCCTCACCCAGAACTAACTTGTTGGCGTAATGGAGGCCACTGCTGCCAGTGACAATGCATTGTTGTGAAGCCAAATCAGAGTGAGGGCACCCCTCCCCGTCTTGGCCATGGCAGTTTTGGATGGTAGATGACAGTAGATGGCACCCTGCAACCATGTGGGCGAATGGACCTTGGTTGTAAGTGTGAACTGTCTCTATGAAGCTGGTGCCGTTTTGAGCTGAATTTGAGCGATGGGGAAGTTCTAATTTGGCTTTGTTCTGCATTCATCGAGAGGTGTTTGCCAGTCCTTACATCTCACCTCCTTTCTTAGCTGTCCCTGGTGTTGGATGGGGTTTTGGCCAGGACAGTTACCAGTGTCCCCCACTGCATCTTACATTTATTATTACTACTACCATTAATAATAATATTTATATCCTGCCTTTTCCCTCATTCTGGGGCTCAATGGAACTTACACTAATTAAAACATGGTACAGATAAAATACAAAAAGCTAAAACCATATAAAATATTATTGTTAAAAGTAATCAAACTTTTAACAGAATCTGAACAATATAAGAAGCAAATCTATTAAAATACAGGCAATAAAGAAGACATAAGCTTGTGCTCACCCCTCTCCTCTATTACAGCCTTCACCAACCTAATGCCCTCCAGGTGTTCTATAGAAAAGTTTTCAGCAGGCATTTAAAAATTAATACAGAAGGCCCTTGCTGAATCTCCAGTGGCGGTGAGTTCCACAGTACTGGGCTGACGACACTAAAGGCTCAGTTCCTTGTTGTTGTGAAATGAGCCTCACCTACTCAGGGAGCAGCCAGAGCTGCTCCTGCAGATAATCCCGGAGTTCGAGCTGGAATATAAGGGATCGGGAGAGTCCCTGAGGTACCCTGGACCTAAGTTGTTCCAGCTCCCAGCAGCCCTTGCTAGGGATGATGGGACTTGTAGTCCAAAACCCCTGGAGTGCATCAGGTTGTCTAAGGCTGACCTCCTAGCTCCTCTAACTGTTGAAAGTTGACTGCCACAGGTAAGTGCAGGTGCTGACTCCATCATACCTTTCTTCCCTTTTCGTTATCTGGCAGGTAGCAGTAGCGCGGGAAGCCCCTTGCAGAATATGGGCGGCCTGGGTTGGGGTGCTCCGGACCCTGGAAGGGAGACAAAGGTCATACATGTGAAATCCGGTCATTGGCTGTACTGCCCACTTAGCTTCAGAGGTGGCTGCAGGAAGGGGGCAGTGCTGTGTAGGAACACGTCGGAAGGGTTGCTGGTTAAGTATCAGATGGGTACTTTGCATGCTGTCAGTCAGGCCTGTTGGCAGACCAACTCTGAGTTACGAAGATGTCTGCAAATGTGGCATGAAAGCTGGCAACATCAACCCCAATATGTGGGAATCCCTCACAGATGTCCACAGTGCCTGCAGGCAGTCAGGTTGTGCACCCATAGCAGTGACCAGAGGAGGAATGGCTGTTGGGAGGAGCGCAGAGAGAAGAAATGCCGTGGTGCATTTGCAGCAGCACAACCGGATGCCTTCAACTGCCCCAGCTGCAACAGGACATGTCTCTCCCATGTCGGTCTCTACAGCCACAGTAGGCGCTGCAACCTTGCAGCGGTTTGACTTCACCCCCAAAGGCACACTCCTCCATTGTCCCCCAAGACAGATGGATGCCAACAGTCAGGGGTAGCCAACATGCAAACCCTGGTGCTCCACCCCTGAGCTATGATTTCCCCTCTTCCTTAGCTGACGCCACTGCATAGCAGGGGGTTGGATTAGATGATCTGTGGGGTCCAACTCTATGATTCCATTCTAACTTTCTCACCTGAATGCCCCTGTTAATGTGGTACATGATCTGTATCGAGCCACAGTCCTCATTCCCCGGGAGAGACTCGGAGAGTATGGCGACATCCATCTTCCCGTTGGGCTGGGTGCCTGTCTTCTCCCCGTAGATGGTCTTACAAGAGGGGCACTGGAGGCTGCCGTCCTGGAAGGTAAAAAACCAGGTCAAAGAAAGGTTTAGAACCCCGAGAACCAGGGGACGTGTCAGGGTGGGGAGCCTGAGCCCCAGGATTTTTTGAGGCAGGCTCCATATTGCCTGCATCTCCCCATTCCTTTTAAAGAAGTTTTGCTTATACTTACAGAGAACAACTCTGAAGCACAGCATCCCACCCCTGGGATCCAGTTTACTTCCCTTATTGTCTGTGGCGCTAGGCACACCACAAAGGGCGGAGGAGATTGCAATCACTCACCTCCTTAAGTTCCCAGAAGCACCTATTCAACCCCACTCCGGCTGTAACAGTTTTTACATAGATTGGCATGCCTACTCTCCTTGAGCCCACAAATACGGTCACCAGTGGCAGCCAGAAATTTTATTCTGATGGCCAGAAGGAAAGAGTTCTTTCTGCCATCGTTATAGCTGGCAACAAGAGGCAGAGAGCACCTCTTTCAAATTGGCACCAGGCACTTAGTAATATAGACTTAGTAATATAGGAATATGCTTCATGCAGAGTCAGACCAACAGCCCATCTAGTTCAGCATCGTCTGACTGGCAGCAATGGCTCTCCAGGGTTTCAAGCAAGGAATTCTCCCAGCCCTACCATGGGAGATGGAACCTGGGACCTTTTGCATGCAAAACAGCTGCTTTGCGCCTAAGCCATAGCCCTTTCTTTTCACCCATTATCTTCTGGGAGGAAGATGTATTTGCTTTTCCTCTGCAATACAGGAAGGGAGGGGAGCCAAGTTTTGATGGCTACCAAGGCCAGGCAAAATTTTTTGACTCCTGGGTGTGTGTAGTGGGAGGGAGAGGGGACTGCTCAGCAAGAAGATAGGTCACAGCAAAAAAAGAAAGCCGTGTGCAACCACAGGAGTTTGGGGGTGCAAGTCCTTGTACAAAGTCAGAGCTGCTTGACCATCTAGGTCACATTCACCCCATGCATTTACAGCTCTGTGACAGCACTTTAAAGAGTCATGGCTTTCCCCAAGAATCCTAGGAGCCGTAGTTTGTTCAAGGTGCTGAGAGTTGTTAGGAGGATGTCTCTCCAAGGGCTACAAACCCCTTTTTCCCAGGGGTCTCTAGGGGATCGGTACATGCATATTTTGGATATTCTCTCTCTGTGTGTGAGAACCATTTGTTCCAGAAACAGAAAAGAACAGAGAAGTGGTTTCAAGAAGCAGCAGAAGGCTGAGATTGTTCTATCTATGCAAGGACATTTTTTGTGGGAACTGTTCTTTGGACATGCACATTATGACGGGAAGCACTGATAACAAAGGTTCTGCGTAACTTAATGTGTGTTTCTTGCTTGCGCCTTTTGGTGAGAGAAGCAGAGAGTGAGTGTCTTGGACTCTTGTTGGACTCTAAGCATGCCTTGACCACGGCAGTGGTGAATGCCTATATATATTTGCTACCAATATGCTTTTATGCCTGTCAAATAAACCTCTACACTCGACTGAATCTTTATGGCATCCATGATTGTTCATTGCCTACTGTGTGTGCCTTCTACCGCAAAGACACTTCCAAGGAAGGAGCTGCGTTGAGATGTAACTCTGCTGAGTATGGATACTGGCACACAAGAGCAGCAAAAATGATGCCGGACCCAATCCTTCTAAATCATCCATCAGTTTGATGGATTGATTCAACAGCAAATGCATCAGCTATATGCTTGTAGGCATAAGGAGTCCAAATGATACTTTGTAGGGGCAGATTGGAGCAGGAAATTACCAGGACCACAATAATAATACTTCATTTTAGTAGTCGGTTTCTTGCTAAAGGTGCTTCCTGTAGCCAAACAACCAGGGCATTTGATATAGGCGCAAGCAAGCAAGTTAGAACATTTCGCAGTTTTCTAAAATCGAAAGAGGGCGTTTCTAAAGTTTGAGGCCTCTTTTTCTCTCAAGGACTAACAATGCAGTCAATCAACCATTTGCAAGATTTTTTGCACAGAAATTCATAATTGTGGGTGAAGATATTGATATATTAATGAGTTGTTCTGGGCTTCGTAAATTAATGCAAGAACCTTAAACCTGCGCCTGGTTCTTTTCTGAGCTAAAATCCTTATGGGATATGTGTGTCTTGATGGAAATCTAGATGGAGCATTCGCTGAAGCTGATGTACCGGAGGAGCCGGCTGGAGAATTGAGACTTCTGCCCCTATCCCTGGTCTTGAGTTTCCAGCAACCTTAAAGGTTACGCCTCGCTGGAGCACCAGCATCATCCCTGCTATAATGATTACCCTCAGCAGCAACTGCACACCATGCTGTTTAGGAAAGGGTAGCTGCTTCTGCACATGAACCTGCCCCACCCACCAAGTACCTTATTGCCGCTCGTGTACATGGCCAGCACACAGAGGAGGTGGAAGGTGTGGGTGCACTTGGCCAGCCTCCCCACGCTCTCCGGTCTGATCGTCTTGCTCTCGCAGGCATCACTGTAGCCCGAAGGGGCGCCTAGTTTTTCCATGCAGATGATGCAATCCTGGACAGAGAGAATCCGTGTTTCAACTAAAGCAGAAGAGGAGGCTGGAGAAGAGCAGGGTCAAGAGGCAGAGTGGAGGCAGGCTGCTGAAGAAGCCAGGACGTCTCCCCCTCCTGCCGCAACCAGCTACCCTCCCCCCTGGTCTCCCAGGACATGCAGAGAAATGAAGAGCAGAGGAGAGATCGGCTGTGTGCGCAATCTGCGACTGCTTGGGAAAGACCATGGAGAGGAGGAGGAGCCGTAGAGAGCAGTGGGAAAGACCTTTAATCCTCGCAACTGCTTTATCGGGGCAAGACCTACAGGGACGAGTTGCTGTGCTCACTGGGCCTGAGCTGTTTTGCTTCCTTTGAAGAACTTCACGGACGTGTTTGCTGTCGCTGACCTAACGCCTGACTCCGGCTCCTGACAGCTAACCTATATTGTGATGTTTCTTTAACCGATTTAGCAAAAATTAACAAATAAAGAAAGCTGCATTTCCCCTTCCATTCTCCCTCAACTTTAAACAGGGGTGATGTACCTCAGGCATGGAGACCAAATGCGGCCCTCCGAGCCTCTTCACCTGGCCCTCAGAACTCTCTCCAGGCCACATCCCTCCCCAGCCCTGCTCTGTACCCGCCAGTGGCTTTGCCTGGCTGGAACATTTGCTTGAACTCATGCCACTGGCTTGCCTGGATGGAGGAGAGAGAGAAGGGAGGGTGGGTGGGTGTAGAAACAAGCCTACTGTAGAAATTTGCATTCACTGCCCTGCCCACTTTTGGCTCCGGCCCCACCCACCACCTGGAGGTTTGCCTCAGGCTGGAAGAGGTTCCCCACCCCTGGTTTCTAGGGAGGGCTCCGTTCCTAGCTTGGAGGGGCTCCTGGGGCCGTTCTGCAGCTTACCTCATCAGCAGGGGGTGCATTCAGCTCTTCCAAATACTTCTTAACCACCTCTTCAGGATTGCTGGAGCCACCTAGAGAGAGAGGGAGAAGAGAGAAAGCACAGAAGGAGACATCAACCTAAGCTAAGGCACAAATCTGCTTGGGAGACAGCAGATGCAATAGGAGCAAGCAGCCCACAGGCAAGTCAAGGCGACAGGCCAAGGAGGAAGGGTTAGAGAAGGTGCAAGAAGGTTAAATCCAGCAAAAGTAATTTCTGAGCAGTCGCAGCCAGCGCTTCAATGCTACGTGCACAAGATCACAGAGCAGGGTGGAGTCGTTTCCACTGATGGGCACAAGAGCTGGGTAGAGGCCATTCACACCATATGTCTGAAGTGTGATAAAATCACTTTAAACAATCATGGGAGCTGTGGTTTATTAAGGGCGCTGTTAGGAGGCCCCTATTCCCCTCCCGGAGCTACGATTTCCACAGTTAGGTTAACAGTCAATCCCTCTTCCCAGGGAACTCTATGAATTGTAGCTCTAGGTGCTTTCAGTGAACATGGCCTTGGTCTCTCAACTTGCAACGATGACGAAAGCTTTGCTCTGCTCCTGCAGTGGGTCTGTAAGGAAGGCTCCAATACCTGGTCAGAGGACCACCTGCCTAGAGAGACTTCTTAATACCATCCTACCGTTGTACCCCTTGAAAGAAAAGGTAATCTCAAAATGCATTGAGATCTAGTCATTGGGAAAAAAAAGTCTGTGGAAGCTACAGTTGTCTTTTTTTTGTTTTTTTTATAATTTTTTAATTGGTTTTTCACATTTTATAAAGACATAACACACACGTAAAAGACAAAAACAAAAAACATGTATAATTTCAAAAATCTTACTTTCTTAACTTTGGTCCTTGACTTCCCCCCACCCCCCCTTCATACATCCCATTTCCCATAATTATGTCAGCAAGTTATTATTTTACCTCCTTACCCTGTTAATATTACATCTTTTGTAGAAGATTAATTCTATCCTAAGTTGGGCTCAGATTCCCTTCCATCGATTTCCCATTTTTATTAAGCATCAATCATATTGACTAGACCCAAAAATCGTAAGTGTTTTTTAAAATTCTGTTTTCCCCCCCTCCCATACCCCGTTCGGCCCATCCCCAGTACATTTATAAAATAACAGTTCTTAGCCAGGATTTATCACATCCGAGGCCTTCAAGTCTCTTTCAGTCCCTCTCCGCCGGTTTTGTTGGTAGTCCTTTATGTTGGTCTTCGGATCTCGAAAGAGTTCTGTCCCAGTCCAGCCAGATTTTCTTCCCACAAGAAAACTTAGAGACAACTGCTGCAAAAGTTCCACCAGTCCTTCATATTCAGAATGGAGGCCCCCATCATATTTCTTCTTTCTTTTAAGTTCTTGAATTCCAAGTACTCCAGGGGCCTCCTCCTTCATCTTTCGCATCTTTTGCAGATTTGTAATCCATATAATCCAAGGGTCTTCTTGTTTATAATCCACATGTGTAGGCTTCTGGTTGGTACTTTCCATCTGTGCTTTCTCCTTTCCTTGTTTAGTCTCCTTCAATTCTTGAGATATCTGTTCCGGTTCAGCTGCAGATTTTTTCTCATTCAGATCCTCAATACATTCAGCAGAGCTGCTTATTCCAGAAGTCAAGGTCGTAAGTTGTTTATTCATAGCCAGACTCTGCTCTTGTAAAGTTCCCACAAAGTAACACATTCTTTCTATTTCAGCTAGTAAATTTCCATCCGCAGCCATTGTAATGTCTCAGAATTCCCCTAGAGGGAATCTGGGTACTGAGTCATCTGTTCCCAACAGTCCTCTGCCTCGTTCTTTGTTTCTTGGGTACGAACCCCTTTAATTCCATCGTATCCCAGTTAGTCCCGGGAGATCTTAACCAACACGCCTCTTTACTTTAATTGCCCGTTTGACAGCTTTAACAGCTGTCAAACTCCTTTCCTCTTCAACAGGCTCAAAAGCAGGACGCTCCGGGCCCGGAAGGGGGTTACACACCACAAGAGAAAACTTCTAAAATTCCACTCTTACACTCCAGCTCAAAACTTCTTTATCAAATCGTGAAAGTTAATGTCTTTTTAACTCACCCCAAAGGGGTAGACTCTCCAACTTAGTTCTCCTGCTATTGCTTTAAATCGTCTGCAGAAGGGGAGTGCGGACTTCCCTTTAACACATTCCCCGGTCGTATCAAATTCTACAAATAGATATTTTAAAGTCCGAATTCCAATCTACTCACGGGTTGCTTCTTTTCGAGTTCCGAATTTAAGGAAAAAGTCAGTGCTCTTCAGCCATGGCACACGGCTCCGCTCCGCTGGGGTAGCGGTCTACTCCCAGCACCACGCCGCCTTCCGTACCCTCTCCGTAGCCTTTAAAGGCTCTTCGTGGGTCGGGGGGGCGCTTAAGGTGCCCACCGAGTCACCAGGTCCGCAGGCATCCGCGCCTGCGGTTTTTGAGGGTCTCCGCGTCGCCGTCGCGGCAAGACCCGTCCCCAGCGGAGCCGATTCCCTCCGGAGCTCGGAGAGAATCCGCCATTAGCTGTTCGCACCAACCCGGAAGTCCGCTACAGTTGTCTACTGGGGAGAAGAGCACCTCTGAACATATGCAAAGTCCTCTCCCCTCATCCCAGAGAGCAGATGCAGCTGGCCAGTGACATGCAACACTACCCTTAAACCAGGGGTGGCTCCCCATATTTTGCTGGACTGCAACGCCCCATTGACACTGGGGTCAGACTAGAGGGGTGATGAGAATGAAGACCCATAATAGCCAGGGGGCCACAGGTTCCCCACCTGTGCCTTAAGCTACTGGCAGGAGAGGTAAGCAGGTTGTCCACAAACTGCCCAGAGCTAAGGACCCAGAATACCACCTCCGAAAATGCAAAAATGCGGGTTTGCAGAGCAATGCAGAGAGAAAACATTAGGACAGTGGTTCTTTACAGTGGGTTCTGACCAGTCTAGAGCCTAAAGCAAAGCCCCTTCCTCTCTTTGTACTTGTTTTACTGCTCTTACCACTTTCAAAGCTATTTCCTTTGGTCACATTTGTTTGTATTTATGATTCTGACTTTGCAAGTCACAAGACAGCCAATTATTATAAACAGCTATTGATTTTCTTATAAATTAGTTACTGTACATCTACAGTAGGCAAAGACTTGTGTATGTTTGGTACGTACCCATATATAAATATATACTGCTCTAAATTTCCTTCACCTGTATGCTGTCGTTGGCAAGACTGAGTAAAAATATTTTTCATGCACAATTCTTTGCTTCCTCTTCTTTAGCTACATTAGATCAGAACATACATCTATTTCTGCAAATATTTATTTTTTAACTAAATGTGCAATTAATTGCAACTGGCTTGAATGTTACTGTATTATTATCTTCCTTAGTGGGTTGTGCAAACTGCCCTACTGAATAATACTTTTTATAGCAGGCATAGGCAAACTTGGCCCTCCAAATGTTTTTAGGACTACAACTCCCATCATCCCTGACCACTGGTCCTGTTAGCTAGGGATGATAGGAGTTGTAGTCCAACAGGAGCTGGAGAGCAGAGTTGGCCTATGCCTGTTTTATAGGGTAGGGTAAAGGGCACTGGGGATGAGTTTATGGAACCAAGAGGTCAGTGGCCCAAAAATGTCTGGAAACCTATCAGAAAGCAGTGGATGGGATTCAGCTAAGGAGTCACACCAGTGGAGGTGCTGCCCAATAGCTTTCCTTTCTGCAACAACACCCTCTGCTCTCCCCCCACCCCACCCAAAATTGCCTCTTGTGGGGTTGAGAAAAGCCCTAAGGTAGCAACACGGGGTGAGGATAATTGCTTCTGGAATGCTGAAATCATTGCCCTATTGGAACGATCCCCCTAGTATATCTCTTTTGAAATGTGATGCTATTCTGGGCTGCATCAACAGAATTACAGTGTCCTGATCAAGGGAAGAAATTGTACCAATCTATTCCGAATTGGTAGGCCCACAGCTAGCGCACTGTGTCCCGTTCTGGGCACCACAATTTAAGAAAGTTATTGACAAGCTGGAACGTGTGCAGAGGAGGACAACTAAGATGATCAAGGACTTGGAAACCATGTCTTATGAGGAACTGTTGAGGGAATTGGGTATGTTTAGCCTGGAAAGGAAGAGACTGAGAGGAGATATGATAGCCATTTTCAAATATCTCAAGGGCTGTCACATGGAAAATAGAGCAAGCTTGTTTTCTCCGGCTCTGGAGGGTAGGACCCAAACCAATGGATTCAAGTTACAAGAAAGGAGATTGAGGCTAAACATCAGGAAGAACTTTCTGACAGCAAGAGCTGTTCAACAGCAGAACAGACTCCCTTGGAAGGTGGTGGACTCTCTCTCATGGGAGGCTTTTAAGCAGAGGCTGGATGGCCATCTGACATGGATGCTTTAGCTGAGATTCCTGCATTGCAGGGGGTTGGACTAGATGATCTTGGGAACCACTCCAACTCTAAGATTTTATGATTCTTCAGTTGTTTTGCATTACAACACCCATCGATCGTCTGGCAGCCCAAAATATCTGGAAGGCACCAGCTGTTGGAGAAGGCTGAAAGCAAAGGGGCTGGGCAAAACAGGGATTTTGGAATTTCTTTTTAGGATGAGCCAGATGGAGGCAATAACGGTTCCAAATACCAGTTGCTGGAAACCACAGGTGGGGAGAGGGCTCTTGCACTTGGATCCTGCTTGAGGGTTTCCCGTAATGGGCATCTGGGTGGTCACTTTTGTTAGGATAGATTTATTGCTTTAGTGTTCAGCGTCCGGCACGCTCCCCTGCACTCCTCTGCAGGTCGTTTGAGAATAGGAGGCTGGACTAGATGGGCCATTGGCTTGATCCAGCAGGCTCTTCTTACATCCCTAAGGGGAAATGTGTCTCAGCATAACAAACACAATGGCAACAAATAGGAACTTGATTTATCATTAAGTGATCTGAGAATCTTTCTAAATGAACAAATTAAGAGGAGCCGTGATGGATGAGCCCTAAGACTAAAGGACACAAACATTTTTAAGGGGGTCAGTATTATGCACATTAGCAAACCCGGGAAACCCAGCTGCAACCAAGGTATCACTGAGCCGCCGTTCAGCCCAAAACATTTTACTAATACCAGTTTAACCATCGGAGACCGTTTTTGTGTCAGCCACCAGAAGGTGAACCTCAGCTAATCTGATAAGCTGCAACAGGAGCCTCCGATACTGTAAATATAGCCTCCTCCTCCTCCACCCTTCCCTTCGTTCTTGTGTGTACCTTGGTTTCTAAGCATAGAAAGCCTGGAGACCACCCGACTTCTCTGTTTGGGAGCACAGAGGCGGCTTTAGAAAATGTCATGCAGATTCTGGAGAGACTACAAAGCAGCAGCGTGTAGGCAAAGATCGCGTCAAGACCCTCTGCGGCAGACAAGGGCCAGGCCATCCAAAGAGCGTCCAAAGCTATCCAATTTGCCAGAGAAGCCAGAAAGGAGGAAGGAAAGGAGAGCAGAATGCCGCAAGGAGGAGGTGGTGGCGGCAGCCGGGAGGAGATCTCCCCCACAACCCGCCCCCCTGAGGAATCCAAGCAAGTGGGCTACCTTTGGCGATCTCTCTCCTCCTCCCCTCCTTAACTGAGCTGTGTTTTTTAGAGGCTCTAGGGGCTCTGGCGGGCTGAGGTGCCAGGCTGAGGTGCACAGGGAATCCAGGGACTGACATCAGAAAGGCCATCATGCCTACAGGGGGGCACGAGATCAGCATGCAAGGTGGGGAAGGGAGGGAAGGAGGAGCGAAAAGAAAATTTGCATCACACAATTTGCCAGGAAATAACACAAGGAAACCTTGATTTGAGAAATTGATTTGACCAATGTAAAAAGAAATCATAAAACAAGCACAAAAGGAAAAGGAGGTGATTCAGTATTGGAAGGGGGTGGGGATATAGATGGGTAAGACAGAGACACCTAGAAACTCACTTTCTCTCAAAAGGGTGGAATTTGGGGGGTGGGGTGCAAGGAAGCGAGTCAAGCAGCAGACATGTTCACAGCTGCCAACTTCAAATGACCACATAAATCAGGGATGGGGAATTTGTAGCCCACAACATCTGGAGGGCCACAGCAGATCTGAGCAGCGGCCATGCTGGCTAGGGCGGATGGGAACTGGAAGTCCAAAATAAATGGAAGGCACAAGCTTGAGGAAGGTTAATTGGCACAGGGGAATTTTCCCAACTAACTTTTTCCCAGAAAAGCACATTACTGGTGACGGGGAATGCAGGCTCCCAGCCTTCAGTTCAGCAAAAGCTTCCATTTTTACTTTAGAATGAGCAATAGTTCCATGTGACATACAAGCTTGGGGGAACTGTGGCTTGATCTAACCAACATTCACAAAATAACAACAACAACAAAGCACGATCAAGCTGGAGATTTAGAGGGTGGGGCATGCAAGGCTTCCTACAGTCCATTCTCAATCTAGTGATTGAGACAAGTCATCTGAACCAGACTAATACATAATACAACAAGAAGTCACAAACACACCACTGTTTTTCAAGGGATCTCTCCTAAGTTCAGCTGGTTGCTGAAAAGCCCTGAGCCGATGACACAGAACAGAATTTGTGTGTGGCAGAGGATTCTAGGGTACTCCAAGTTCATGTGAGTCCTGAGGCCCACACTCACGATGACGACCATAATGAGGGCTGCTGCAGTGCCTACTCAAGTCCCAAAGCGAGAAATGGGCAAGATATCATCCCAGCAGCTGCAAAGTGTTTCTGAGGCATGTAGAAGCAGCAAGACTCATTGATGTTCCTAAGCACCCATGTTGGAGACCAGCCACCTGCTTTTCAGAGTCAGGGAAGGATAGGTGGTGAACAGATTTTGGAGAAAAAGAAGACCACACCCTGCTTTCTTTTTTAAGGGTGGGGGGATTCCAGAAGTGCACCCTCCATCTCCCATTTTATGACTTCACTGGGTGTCCCCACACCCTCCTGGGCTTTTCTTCCTTGCACCTCATTGCAGTGAGACTCTGCCCAATTAAGGCAGACTCTCACAATGCACAGAGCCAGCCACAGGGGAAAGTAGTATGCAATCGAAACATATAGCACCTGGAAGAGAATTTGTGGACTGTAGCCTCCCCTTAGATTGTCCGAGCATCTTATGGAATATATGGGGCAGGGGTACATCTTGGCTGTGAGTCCTGCAACCCCTGCTCCCTGGCTTGCTACCTAGCTGGGGAGGGTGAAGTCCTGACTGATTGACTGCAGCTACAAAAGCTGAGACTGCCTAAGAGGCCAGGGCCTATTTTGGCTGCGAGTCCTTCAAGCCCTGCTTCTCAGGATGCCTGCGGGTTATTGTTTAGGGTTTTTTGTTGTGGTTATGACTTAATTTTGGAGAGGCTTAACCTTGCTACTATTAATAACAGTTTCTTGTATCTTTAATTTTAGATTTTATTATGACTTAGGTGCAGATTGTTTATATGCTTTTACTTTCTCTGCTTATGTCTACTTTTGTTGTACTTTTGCAATTGTGTACATCTTTTCATGTTGTAAGCCGCCTTAGGCATGGTTTTAACTACGGAAAGGCAGTCTTCTCAATACCTCTGTCAGGGAAAGGGGACCAATGGTCTGAATTCCAGTAGCAGTAGCAGCTTCTGAGAAGCAGAAGGGGTGAGGGGAAACTGTATCAAGTATGGAAAGACAATCTATTGAGAATTCAGAAATCCTCATTTTGTGAAGTGGACTTAGGGACGTTCAGGAAGAAGCAGGCAATATGTTTACCCTAACAGGACACAGGTAACTGCTAAAAATAGGGAACCTGTGGCCCTCCAGAAGGTTGCTGGACTACAACACCCATCATTCCTGACTATTTATCATACTGGCTGAGGCTGATGGGAGTTGAAGTCCCACATCATCAGTGAGGGCACCATTTTGTCTTTTTGCTAAGCAACTGAACACCTCTAAGAGATATTGCAACATTTTTTGTTTTTTTTTGCATAATGGTTTCTGGGATCAATGTATCCAACTAACTTTTACTCAAGAGTTGAAGTTAATGGCCATGACTAACTTAGGTTGGTTAATTTCAATGGGTCCACTCTGAGTAAAAGTTAGCTGACTACAATCCCGTTTTTGTCTACGCTTGGATGAAATCGGACGCCATTTTGAATCAAGATGGCAGACTGAATCTCTCAAACCTGCATGGATTTTAACCACACTTTGCATGATGGGTCCTGAGATCAAGGAGCAGATTTTTGTCTGTGCCAACTGGATGCCATTTTGAATCAAGATGGTGGACTGAACCTTTCATAACTGCACCTTTTTTGTTTCTTAGAATTCCCAAGCAGCACCGGGTATGAGGATGCCAGTTCCTTGTAATCCCAGTTGCCAGTGTAAGCCATGGGCGGGGGGACAACAAAAAGAAATAACAGGAGCCATTTACCTGCCAGAGCTTGGCTCACTTTGCTGTGTCTGGACATGTTCACTGGTAGCTTTGGGACACTGGAGAGAGAAGAGGACAATGTTACTGAATGTGTTTTAAAGTGGATAATTATAGCAACCACAAGGAATAAGCAAGAGAACCAGACATACCTAGGGCTGTACATGCTCTAGGCTAAAAGGTTTGGCCCCCTGAACAGCTGACTCCTACAACCATTGATAAATCAAGCAAACTGTACACATGGGCACAGTTTATAGTGATTTTATCAGATGGGGGAAATGAGGCATACACAACTCCATCACCACCACTGCAAAACCTATTCAGCAGGATATATTATTGGCTTTCTGAGATTTCAACAAGTACTGCCCAGTTTAAAACACTCACACACAGCAACTTGCTTTTTTAGAAAAAGAAAACAGCTGATTCTCAGGAAGTTAAATTCCAAGCCAGTACCAGCTTCTTATACTCCAGCTCAAGATATACCAAGTTTTCTTGCAACACCACCACCAAGTGCTGGGACAGCTCAGTTGGTAAAACATGAGACTTAATCTCAGGGTCATGGGTTCGAGCCCATGCTGGGCAAAAATTCCTATACTGCAGGAGGTTGGACTAGATGATCCTTTTGGTTCCTTACAACTCTACAGTTCTGATCTGATCCAATATTTCCTGGCTTTGTATCTAGGCTGATTCATAAAACAAAACCTTCACAGTCAGATTAAAGACACTGTCTGCAGCTCTAGGGGGGCTTTTTGCTGTGCGCAAAAAAATGAAAAGTTTCAAAATCTAACAAAAATAAGAAATATTTTAATCTGTGGTGCTGACCAACAAACAGCACAGCCCAAGAGCTGGATAGCAATGGCTGGCTGCTCAGATTTCCTTTAATCACATACATGGGAATATTCTGTTTGAAGGTGGGTTTTTGCTAGCTTCAAGTATGTGAGCCCGGACAGAAGTAATTACACACTTCCGACAGGAGGCTATTATGTGGAGGAAAGCTGCCCAGGGCTGTCTGCTGGTGCTGAAACAGGACCTTTCCACAGCTTAAGCTTCTACCTAGTCCCCCAAACACCAGCATCAGCTTCAAGGCCTGATCCCCACTTAGCACAGGCAAGTGAAAGAGGAAGTCTAAACACCTCATAAAGAGCAGCAGCAGCAGCAATACAGTGACCCTAACCTGAAAGCCAGTTCACACACGCAGGGTGAATCACTTGGATACTAAATACTTGCATCCGAATGTGTGAACCCATGCCACCAAGAGAGCATAAGAGCATGTTGCAGTCAACATGGCTTACCCAAATGCCCGACAGCCGGTAAGATTGTGTCCTGAAGGAAAGAGTCACTGGAACGTAGGAAGCTGCCTGATATCAGCTCAGACGATTTAACCCTGCATTTTCTACAAGAGGGGTGAGGAGCCTTTTTTAAAACTTAATGGCTGCATACCCTTCTGAGCAAGCTTCCGAGGGTCACATACCAGTGCTGGATGAGGCCACAGGCAAAATTGTGTGGAACAATGAATGTGATTTTTATATTATTACAGGAAGCTAGTTTCTTCACACTCAGGTACCCCACACTATCTTCCATCCAGGCAAGAAAAAGACACGATCAGAGTTTAAAGCTACATTTCAATCAGGCAGAAACCCTCAAGGAGGATGTGAAGCTGGGCCGGTAAGAGTTGTGGCCTTAGGAGTAATAAGGGCCAGTTAGAGGGGACTGGGCATGGGGTACATTTGGCCCCTGGGAGGGAGGTTCCCCACCCCTGGGCTGAAAGAGAGTCAACTAACTATCAACAATTCTATTTTATTTTTTCACTGTGCTGAAGTTGCATCTCTTTTCCAACAAATATTAGATTGGGAGATTGACATTATTTCAGCTGCAGGCTTCAGAGGCTCTTGTACAGCAGATAAACAACGCCATACAAGAGAGAGGGGGGAACCATCAGCAGTGGGTTCACAGTGATTGGAAGTGGCACTCCAGAGTCTCAGGCAGAGGGAATATTTTCCATCTCCTGCTACCTGAATCCAGTGTGCAGAAGGAGAGACAAAGGAAAACCCCATGTTGGGGATCATTAGGAAAGGGCCTGACACCTTCCACACCTTGCTGATATCATAATGCCTGTGGCACGACCACACATGGAATACCGGTTGACGCTTCTAAGAAAGTTTATTGCAGAGCTGGAAAAGGTGCAGAATAAGGGCAGTCAAAACCATCAGGCGGGTGGAACAACTCCCCCACCGGAAAGGCTATAACATTCCGGGTCTTTTTCGTTCAGAAAAAAAGGTGAGTTGGGGTGGAGGGGAGACTGTGATATAAAGAAATTGTGCATGGCTTGTGATGAATTTGCTTTCTCTATAAAAGCTGCACGTAAGCAGAACACCCAATTGATCAGCTCAGAAGAGTCTGGCTTCTCCAATGCAACTGCCTCATCCTAATAAACAGAGCCTTAAACATACTTTTATCCTAATCACAGTGACAACTTGCTTCCCACCCCCCTACAGGATCCATGCTTTTCTCGCCCTCTCTCATAATATGAGAACCTAGGGACATCCAATGAAGGGTGGAAGATTCAGGACGAAAGGAAGTCCTAATTCAGACAACACATAGCTGAAGTATGGAATTTAATACCAGAAAACATAGTGACTGTCTAACCTGGTTGGATTTAAAAGGAGAACACACAATTTTGCACAGGACAAAGCTATTGGTGGGTTGTGAAGCAGAGTGGGAGAGGGGGGTGGCCTGGGGGAGAGTCCCAAGGCTGAGATACAGAGTTTTGGAGGGCCAGATTTGGCCCGCAGGCCTGATGCTCCCCACCCTTGGCTTAGAAAGGATGTTAGCAACTCAAGAGTAGATCAACAAACATAGCTCACCTGACTCCTTTTGATGTGGTGTTTGCTGGGCTTGGCCCAGCGACGGCTCCGGACTGTGGTGCTGCCCCGGCACTGTGTACATTCAGCCTTGGCATCGACCGTGCTCCGGACAGGGCTGGCTTGTTATAAGGCACAAAGCCCACCAGAGAGGAACTGAGCCCTGCTGTCCTGCCAGTCCCCAGATTCCCAGCAGAGGGTCTGGGAGCGGTTCCGGCGGAGGGTCCAGGGAGGTTCACCATGGAGTGCCGGAACCGTGATGTAATGGGGCCAGTCCCACTGTTCAACAAACACTGCTGGCATGTGCATGAGGGTCCTGAATGAGGAGGCCCCGTCACTGTGGTGACTGGGTAGGGAGAATCCACCCGCCTCCGGATTCTCCGCTGGTAGCCCGTGGCCTTGTTGGTCTGGGTCTGCGAGACGAAATCGATGCTGTACTTGTAGCCAAAGAGCCCAAGATCTGCCTGGGGGGTGCTGACCGTGAAGGCTTGCTCCAGGTAGATGCAGACGGTCATCTCATAGGGGAACCAACCGCCGTCATCATTCTGCCACTCCCAGACGACTCCCTGCCCAGGGGCTGAATCCAACTGGAAAACGTGTCTGCGCACACAGCGCATGGTCCCTACAAGGAGAGAAAAGGGGTACCAGCAATTTGTAAGATGAGGAACAATGGTAAGGAACAAGCCTTGCATCTTTCGACAGAGGTCCAGGCCCCAGTTGCTAAGGAAAACACTTGATCTTAATGATCTGGAGTATTTTGGTATCCCAAGGCTTGGCAAATCACCCAGTCCTCAGGTCTACACCCTTCAATGACTATGCTTTGCTCCAACCTTGAGTGCTCTTGTCAGGCTGGAATGGGTTCTTGGGCTCTGATGCATTGTCCTGTGTATTTGGACACGGGATTAACAGCCCCGTTGTTTCTGTGCCTTAAGGCTCTTCTCCTTCAGTTGACTGACTGAGACATAACCAGCTAAATTCTTCAGCTCATAACAGAAGTCTCCCTGAACACGATGTTCCTGCAAGACAGGAACAGAGAATGTGGTGGACTCTAAGTGTCGTAGGGCTACAGCTCTCATCATCCTTCTCTGCTGGCCATGCAGGCTGGTGCTGATAAGAGTTGGAGTCCAACAATGCCACTTTGGCTAACCCTACTGTGAAGAGGAAAGGGATCCTGGGGCCAAAGGAACATTCCTCCTCCTCCTCCAGGTTGGAGACACCTGTAACTCTTAATCTAAATAACAGAGAACAGAAGACCCAACACTGACCTGCATTCTTGTTCAGCTCCTCTATTATTTAATGTATTTCTATCCTGCCTTTCTCCCAAGTAGGGATTCAAGGCAGCTTGCAACATTTAAAAACATCATTATTAAATACATAATAATAAAACCAACCTAGTTGAAAACAATAGTCAAAATATATCACAACACACTTAGAGACAGCAGTTAACACTGGGTTTGCCCTGACAGCAGCCCAGTGGTAAGCATGGTCTGCACCTCAGTTTCCAAAGGCCCATCTGAACAGGAAGGTCTTGGCCTACTGGTGGTAGGGTAACAAAGAGGAACCCAGTCTGACCTCTCTTGGGAGGGTATTTCACAACCTGGGAGCAGCCACAAAAAAAGGCTTTCTCCTGTGGACCTGCTGTACCTCTGATGTTGATGGGACAGAGTGAAGGTGCTTACCTGAGGATCTTAGCTCCCAAGCAGGTTCACATATGGAGATGGGACCTTTCAGGCAGCCTGGGCTCAAGTCACAATGTCCTCTAAATGCTCCTGGACTCCAACTCCCACCAGCCTCAGCCAACATGGCCAGGGATCATGGGAGCTGTAGTCCAGCAGCAACCAGAGAGTGTTTGCTACCCCTACATCTGCTAATCTGCTAATCTGTCCACTGCCGACAGCTGAAGCGCCACACTCCTGCGGCCTGACTTTGCATCTGTTGCTCCCTTCTACAAAGATGTTCAGAAACTCAGGAAGGAAGATTTCCTGCCATTCTCTCTGGCTTCTGATGAACAGCCCAGATTGCCTGGGTTTTTTTACATTGCAATTACAAAGTTTTGTGGATAGGCATTTCCTGCTAGGTTTCCTGCCCACCCCCAATTTGTGTGTGTGTGTGTGTGTGTGTGTATACGTGTATACACACACACACACACACACACACACACATTGTTTGTCCTACTCTAAGTAGGCAATTGGTGCATCTTGGTAACTTTAAGCCATCCATTTTAATGGGTTTACTTCGAGTATGACTTTGTTGGCTATTACCCACTAGGGCTGGGCGATATATTGATACATCATCCAAAACCGTTTTGAAGTCTGTATTGTGATAACGGTTTCATAATTTTAGACCTGGCCAATATATTGCAAATCATGACATGTATCTGTGTGTGATGCAAAAATCACGATGAGGGAAAAACCATGAAGCCAGCCAATGCCTCTACATAGCTCAATCCTTATTTAAGCCATCATGATAGATCAATATATTGTGATGTTTCTCTGGTGATATATCACAATGTTGCAAACCAGATATTGCCCAGCCCTACAGTATTCGCCTCTACATAATCTCATCCGGCCCTAGTCTAATCCTCTTTTAAAGCAATCTAGATTGGTGACCATCACTGCTTCCAGTGGGAGCAAGTTCCATAATTTAACTCAGCGCTGTGTGAATAAGTCCTTCCTTCTGTCTGTCCTGAATCTTCCAATATCCAGCTTCATCGGATGTCCCTGAGTTCTAGTGTTATGAGAAGGGCCACTGCTGGCTCAGCCGCTTTCCTACCTGTATCTTGCCGGAACTGCGTGAGATTCGGTATGTCGATGATGTAAGGTGCTAGCGTGGAATCTGCTTGCCCCAAAGGAATGCTGCCGTTGGCAGGCCAGGAGGGCAGCGACTGCCTCCCTTTTGCCATGAGAGCCTGGAAGGACTGCTCGATGTAGCTGCACACGCCGCTTGGGTACGGCCTCCACCTGCCGAACTCATCCTGCCACTCCCATACGGCCACTCCTGGATCTGGCAGGGACGGGGGAGGTCCGGTGGAGGTACCTGGCAAAGTTGCCATCTTCAATGGGCTTTTTGCCCTTCCTCCAAAAAAAAAGTGGGGGGAATATGGAAGGTTCGGGATGGTGTCAAGTCAGAATTCAATTTTTCATCTTTGGCAACAGCAGCTTGTCACATCTGCAAGTTAAAAGGGGGGAAATGTTAGCATTGAGACTCTGTGTTGTTACTCAAGGTTCAAACAAGTGGGTGCCAAACAAATACAGTATACATGGTAATATCACCCTCTACCAATACAATGGTATATGAGCAAGAACAGAAGGACTTCAGCTAAGTGGTTAGAGCATTTGCTTTGCATGTAGAAGGTCCCAGGGCTCAACCTCAGGTAGGGCTGGGAACATCCACTGCTTGAAACCCTGGAAAGTCAATGTCAGTCAGTGTAGACAATTCTGAGCTAGATGGACCCAATGATCTGACTTTCTATGTTCCTAAAAATAATGATTAATGAGGGGCAAATTTTCTTCTTCTTCATCATCATTTCATATTTCCTACTGCATTCTTATTTTAACTTCATAATAGACTCTTGAATTAAAATAAAAATGAGTGGAAGGTTAGAGCTGAGCTGAATCAGCGTAACTCTGCCCATTTTCAGTTTCATTTTCAGTTTCACTGGCACTCAATTTGTCCCATCTTGTGTGGTGTTTATGAAAGAATGCACAAAAACATCTGCATTTAAATTATAAATTCCTTTTTATGCACACTCTGCATGCAATGTACACATTTTTTGAATCTCTACCCCGCCCCCCGTAAAATACTTTAAAAAATACAAATACACACAGTGGTACCTCATGTTGCGTAACCTCCAGGTCACAGAAACTTCAGGTTACGGCCTCGGCAAACCCGGAAGCATGCGTAGAAGAGCTCTGTGCGCGTGCGCAGAAGCACTTTACAGGGCCACGAGCATGCGCAGAAGTGGCATGTCTAGTTACAGATTTTTCGGGGTGCACACAGCACCCCAAAATGAATTAAATACATAACTAGAGGTACCACTGTATTGTGCATATGTTGCATGGACCGAAATTGCACTGCAAAGATCCAAACAAATCCACACTATGTTCCAATCCACAACTGCACCACTGTGGAAAGCGGACAGAATGAATTCGTCCTCTGTCCCTATGGGAAGATCAAGTAACAACACAAAAGCAGGTAATTAAAAAACAAACAAACCCCAAACAACTAGGATTGCTCTGGTCTGCTTGGTTCATGTAGGAGCCTGGGAACATGGCTTCATGTGGGTGAAGCCTCTGGCTGCTGGTGGCAACAAGTAGTTTTGACAGTTGCTACAAGCACACAGGCAAAGCCTCCTTCTGCCCTTTCCAACTGCTGCCCAAGAACCCTGTCTCTGACAGCATCAGCCCTGCATGGCACTTGGAAAGGAGGTAGGAACAAGGAAGAAGCAGGTCAAATAACCAGGTTTTTTTTCCACCCAGGAAAGAATCTAGGACAAGCTCAGAAAGAAAGTTTTCCCTTTCAAAGCAGAGAGGCTCCACAAAAGAACTGCTTCCTTCTCCTGGGGCTGTTGGGAGGGCAAAGAGGAAAGATCAGTTGTACTGGGCCCAGCATGTGTGGACAAAGAGCGGGTGGTGGTGGTATCTTTCTAACCAATGGCACAAAGGCTTTCATGCAGGCTGATTTTATAAGATCAGAAGGTTTCGGTTTTATTCTTGTATCCGTTTTGCTTTCACTGTTCCTCAAGGAAACAGGAGAGCTGTGGAGCCTGTTCCAAAAGCTTTGCAGGAAAAAAGCTATGAGCCAGGAAATGGTCCACAAGGTCATAGCTGGTGAAATACATGAGACCATGAACTCTGGTCCCCAGTCCAAAGCTGACAGCACATGCACCCCCTTTCAAGCTGGATGCATTGAACTCAAATGTGAACAAATGACACCAGGAGGGAGGAAAGAGGTCACCAAAGCTTTTGCTGTGTGCTGTAAAGAGTGGAAGAAGCTGTTTTCAAATCAAAACACAGAGTTTTCTCCCCTCAGAAAATACTTTGCTTCGAAACTCAGCATACAAGCAAAATATAACCAGCTTACATAGAATGGTACTGTTGAGTAACCTAGGTTTGTAGGTCAATTGAGAGTCAACCTGGAGGGCTAAAAAAAATAAATGGCACCCTGATGCCCCTTATTGGTGGCACTTTTACAAAGCAATAAAAGGAAAGACCCCTGCCTCAAGGAGGCTGCAGTTTAAAGTACAGTGGTACCTCGGGTTACATACACTTCAGGTTACATACGCTTCAGGTTACAGACTCCGCTAAACCCAGCAATAGTACCTCGGGTTAAGAACTTAGCTTCAGGATAAGAACAGAAATCACGCAGCGGCAGGCCCCATTAGCTAAAGTGGTGCTTCAGGTTAAGAACAGTTTCAGGTTAAGAACGGACCTCTGGAATGAATTAAGTACGTAACCAGAGATACCACCATATATCTAAGATGTACTTGGGCATTTTGCTTTTGCTTCATCATTTGCTGCTACAACTACACAGTGCACTCCTGCCTCAAGAGAAGGGATGGTGTCCCAAACTGCAAGCACCAAGTGGGGCTTGTGGGAGTAGTCTGGTGCAGGGATACCAAAGGAGGATCTTAAAAACACTAAAGTGGCCAGTTCCAGTGCTTTATTAAAGAAAGGTGTAAACTTGCAACATGGAGTAAAGAGCCCTGCTGCCTTTACAGTCACGGGGTGAACACAGCAGCAACAAGCAGTCGCCATGACTTGTCCACACGCAGGTAAACATGTATACATTACTTATAAAAGAAGCTGCATATGTCAGCTTGGCCAGAACCTCCCATCAACCCACCTGACCCTTGAGGGCATTGGTGGCAACTATCCAAGGCTCGCAGATAACTCCCCTCTCTGGGCCCAGAGCCAGGATCTCAGGGCCCACAGAAAAACATAGTACCAAAACAAGCCAATTAGCAGATATCCAAGCAAATGAACATACATGTGTGAGCGCATTCTTGCAACAACTACCAATTAGTTTCAAAGTTATTTTGACTATCAAGATGGCCTTGAGGGCCTTCCGAGAACAGTCTCATCTTCGGTTCAACATAGATGGGGAACTCGTGGCCTTCCAGACATTGCAGTACAACCCCCCATCACCCCTGATTGTTGGTCACGCTAGCTGGGACTGATGGAAACTGGAGGTCAACAACATCCAAAGGGCCACAGTATTAGCCCACCCCAGCTACGGAGGGTTTAAAAGTGACCAGCACTAGTTTGCTGCTGAACATTTTCAAGCACTCGAGAGGATAGGCCATTTCACATTTCTGATGCATGCTTCCACTTACTGGTATTTACATATGATTTTGCCTAAGGGCTCAAAAGAACACTCTTTCAGTATTTTTTTTTTTTTTAATTAGGCTGGTTGTCTGTTTTGGAAAGGGTTGAACTCTCCCTTAATGGGGCTGCCCTTGGAAGGAAACTTCAGCTGGTCTAAAATGCTGCAGCCAGATTACTGGTTGGGATTGCATTTAGATCTCATATAACCCTTGTTCTAAAACAGCTGCAATGGCTACCAGTGCATTTCCAGGCCCAATTCAAGGTGCTCACAGTAGTGTTTAAATCCCTAAATGACTTAGGCCCCAAATAACTGAAAGACTACCGCATTCCCTGCAGACCCTCTCAGTTGCTAAGATGGGCAGGAGCCCCTTAGTAGTTCTGCAGAAGCTTAGAGTGGGGGTGGCAGCGCCTAAATTGTGTGACTCCTTCTCCACAGAGGTACATCTGGCACTTTCATTCAGCAGTTTCTGGAAAATGTTGAATTAACCCTGGTTTAAGACACCTGAGCTATGTGTTTTCAGGACCCACCTGTGTAAGTCGCTTTAAATTGTTTTTAATACTGTGCTGTGTTCGGATGTTGTAACCCACTCTGAGAAACTTAGAGTGCTGTGATTATTTTGTCGCTCTTCATAACAACCCTGGCAAGAGAACGAAGAGGGTCAACCCTTTCACAGGCAAATTGCAGAAGCCACTTCCAACAACACTGTGGAGATGTGGAAGAAAATGAAGTCCAGAAACATGCAAATACTCCACTAAGGCCTGTGGTGTTGGGGTGGGTATTAAATGTAGGGGAAGCAGTTCCACATGCCTTTCTAGCAACATGGAATGATTACCCAATGTAAGTAAATGGAGCCGAGAATGACACACAAGAGGTGCTGAGAAGCAGCTGGATGACATCTATCCCCTCTGCTCTCACGTATACACACACAGTTATTACTCATCCTTCCCCAATTAGTTGACATGTGAATGTTAAAGGAGAGGAATTTCCCACCATTAAATTTCCAGCATGGGGAATAGCTGTCTAGGACCATAAAGTTAGCTATCAAGTCAGCCAAACAGCAAGCCACCCCAGAGGCAGGCCTGTTTACTCGAAGGGTGATAGATTCTTGCAGCTCAGACCCCTCAAGTGAAAAGTGGCTAGACCTCAGATGCCTGGTGACCTCTGTCAAGAAAAGGCAACCCTGCTAAGACAGTAAGAAACACACCGCTGGATTGGACCAAAAACCTACCTAGCCTAGCATCCTGATTCCAACCAACTGCCAATGGAATGCCTCCTGGAAGCTTGGCGAAGTTGAGAAACCTTCCCCAGAAGAAGGGACTTAGGGGTATACTTTTCTTGTATAAGGAGGACCCCTCACACACAAACATATATACCCACACCCGTGGGCGGGGGGGGACTTACTTCCCAATGCACAATTTTGCCAACAGCTCTGATCACTCAGCAGCCCCCCTTTCTTGGGAGGGGAAACCACAACACCCCAAAATACCCATCCCACATCCACATAGCTTTCCTGTAGAAGAAAAGTTGCACCATAGAATGCATGCCTTAGTGCAAGCACACCAAACCTCCCCCAAGAGAAGCCTGAATCCTTAAAGGAACGCTACCTTGCCCAAGGGACCATTAAAGCACCCCTAAAACAAGTCCAACATTTTCCAGGCAGGTGACTATAGCAATGAGTGGTGTATTAAAGGCAGCCAATGTGCTGTCGGACTCCAATCTCCATTGGCCCTGGACAGCATGGTCAACAGTAACAGATGATTGGAGCTGGATGTCTAACATCTAGAGGCCACCACTCAGCTACCCCCCTCCTCCCCATAGAGTTCTGGCCTATGACCAGGCGGTCCTGGGTTCAAATTCTCAAGTCAGCCTTGAAGCCCACTGGGTATCGCTGGGTCACACATCATCATCATCATTACAATTATACCCCACCTTGCCTCCAAGGAGCTCAAGGTGGTCCACATGGTTTCCCCTCCCACTTTACTGTAATCATCACAGCAATGCTATTTTTCTAGAAAAAGAGGTGCCGGAAATCACCATGAACGCCTCCCTTGTTCTCTTATAACAGCAATGGCGTCCACCTGAGAGGTGCCTGAACTGAGTTCCTGTGAGTTCCAGCTGGGGGGGGGAATAGCCCTGTTAGGTAGGTTAGGCTAAGAGGAAGCGAGTGGCCCTTAAGGTCACCCAGTGAGCTTCATGGGGATTTGAAACCAGGTCCTAGTCCATGGGTAGGCAAACTAAGGCCCAGAGGCCGGATCCGGCCCAATCGCCTTCTAAATCCAGCCCGTGGATAGTCCGGGAATCAGCTTGTTTTTACATGAGTAGAATGGTCCTTTTATTTCAAATGCATCTCTGGGTTATTTGTGGGGCCTGCCTGGTGTTTTGACATGAGTAGAATGTGTCCTTTTATTTCAAATGCATCTCTGGGTTATTTGTGGGGCATAGGAATTCGTTCATTTCCCCGCCCCCCAAAATATAGTCCAGCCCCCCACAAGGACAGTGGACCGGACCCCTGCTGAAAAAGTTTGCTGGCCCCTGTCAGACACTTTAACCACACAGGGCTGATCTCCCTTGCACAATGGTTTCGTGGGGCAAGGGGACAGAAGAAGTGAAACTTCCTCTGCTTACCTTATGTTCCTCCTTCAAGTAAGGGCAGGGTTTATTAAAAATACAATATACAATAAATGAATAAACCACAACCTACAGGTTTTGAGAGTCGTCCTTGGGCTAGAAGGAGTGGCGAGAGAAGACTAAGAGGTCTTCACTTAGCGAAAGAAAGAAAGAAATCACAGTGGGTGGGTGGGTGGCCGGCCTTGGGCAAGTACTTGGCTGCTTAGTAACTCTCTCCGTCTCTGAAGTCTTAATTTACCTCACCGGGCGGGGGGCGGGGGGGGGCTGCGAGGGTAAAATGGACAGGAGAGGAAAGAGAAAACAAGAGACCACAAACACCAACGGCCCCACCCCGAGTTTCTGGGAGGAAATGAAAGATGTCACGTTATTAAAGAGCCGCTCCCAATTTTCTCAGAAATTCCACTTTATTAAAAAAAACCATTTATTTTAATTTTTTAAAAACCCTGAAAAGCTCTGCTGGAGACTGAAAGGCACGAGGGGTCGTGGACCCCCTAAAATGTCCCCCTCAGCCCTTCAACCCACTTCCCTCAGACCCGCAACACTTCGAAAAAACCCCCAAAACAACTCCCCAAGCCCCCCAGACCTCTCTCAGCCCCCAAAACTGTTCAACCCCCCCAAAAAACCGCCCCACCTCCCGACGTGCGAGTGGGGCTGAGCCGCCTCGCCCTCCCAGCCCCTCACCGGAGGCCGCTGCCAGGAAGCTCCTCGTTGCCGCTGCTACTGCCGCCGCTGCTATTCCTGCCGTTGCTTCCTCTCGGCCACCTCCGCCTCAGCCAGAGTGAGTAAGCACGCATGCGCCGCCGCTGTCATCATCGGCACCGCCTCCTCGCTGCCGAGCAGCATCATGGGGGTCGTAGTCTTTCCTTCCCTCCCCGCTGAAACGACTCTTCTTTTTCCTGCACAAGCGTTCCATTCCATTCCGCGCCCCGTCCCCGAACCACGCATGCTCGCCGCGCGTGCCGCGGTGCGTCCTGGGAAGGGTAGTCTCGGGAAGTGGGAAGGGCTGCAGCCCCTCCGCCTCTTCCCACGCGGTGGCGGTGATTCCTTTGGAAGGGACCTTTGCAAGAGTGCTGGTGGTGGTTGCAATCATAATAATAACAACCTGGATTAGGGATGTTGTCATATTGTTAGTTGTGGTCTGGATTAGATGCGATTAAAAACAGCTACTGCTCTCTATCAGGCTAGCTCAAGGCTGAGTTTTTCCTGCACAACCATGCTTGAAACATTCTTAATACAGTTTGAGTAAGCAGGTTCTCCTAACAATATCTTTAATGCAGTCTGGGTAAGGGGAATCAGCAGATTCTCCTTACATGTGTGTGTGTAGAAACTAGCCTAGGGTACACAAGTAAAATTTGCACTCATTGCTGAACCCACTTTTGCTTCTGCCTCTGCCTCCAGCCCTTGGAAGCAGGGGTGCCAACTTGGAAAAAAAATGGGGGGGGCGGGTAAGCCTTGCCCCACATAATCAATCACTAGTTGCGGTTCAACACACACCATCTGAATGACAATGCCCTCACCTTGGGGTGCGGAGCAGCTCCCTCAGATATTTTAGGGGGGGGTGAAAGCTCCTACGCTTTCAAGGCTGCCCAGAAGGGCATGTATCCCTCAGGCTGAAAAGGATTTCTCTGAGTTGCAAGGCTTTAAAAACAAAACAAAAATGAATAGCAGATAAGCAGCAGCTGCTGTGCAGTTATTTTGTATCCTGTTGTTGGATCAAGGTCATACAGATAGAAGGGGCTTATTAAGGCACAACTGAAAGCTAATTTGCGCTTGGGAAATACGATTCAAGGCATCTTTCGGGATCTCTCAGGCTGATAACTGTGAGAAGGATGTGATATGAATTCCTGGGGTGACAGAGTCATACTCTGACCATCCGGAACAGCCCAGGAGTCTTAAGAGCAATTATTTCCAGTCTGTTTGTTTTTTTAGCAAGGGGAACCTTGCCAAGTTAGCAGCCACCATGGAGCACTTAATTGCTTGGCTGGTATCAAAGAGGTGGCCTAGGAAGGACTAGGCTCTGATGGAGCAAGGTTGATATTGGATCAAAAGGCTATTAACAGCTGGTGAGCCGTGCCAGCCCAGAGAAATGGGGCAGAGGGAAATCACCAACAGCATTAACTCAGTGGTTGAGAACCCAGGGGCAGTGCAAGGCCCCTGAGTTCAGTTCTCAGCATCTCCAGATAAGCCTGGGACAGACTCCTCTTAGAAACCCTGGTGAAGGTTGCCAGCTTTTCCCTGCAAATATCTCCAGATAAACCCATTTCTATAGGCAGTTTTGATTAATGCAAATATTTGCCCAATGTAATGCATCTTTTAAATGTTATATTCAGTAGTATATGCATTGCTTGCCTGCAGAACTGTGTTGCAAAATTTGGAGAAAAGTAAACTTCCAAGGATAGCTGTGTTTCAGTTCATGTATGGGTTCAAGAACTGCAGGTTAAGAAGGTTCACATTAAAATGCAATCAAAATAAAATCCCCTCTCATCCCGAAACCACACCTTCCAATGGATGCTTGCTTCTACCTGCATTTTTTGACTCAAACCCTTCAAGTGATCAGAGTCTCTGCCTATCTCTTGCAAATCACCCAGAGATCTACTATTATGTCCTGATGTACCTACTGGGTCCCCTTACCCCTGTCATTGTAGTCAATCTAGTCTAGCCCCCTGTTGGATCCAGAAGATCCAGAGCTAGAGTCAAGTTTGAAGCGAGGCAAAGCCCATCCAGCACCAATCTAAGTCATCAGTTCCATTGTCAAACACCTCTTAGCTTCAAGAGGTTTATTCTAACATTCAACCAAAATTCCCCTTCCTGTAATGCAAGCCCATTAGATACAGATCTAGTACACTGTGTTTTAGAGCCATGTTTGTGTGATTTGAATTGTGATTTCTCTGACACACACAACATACTGCTTTGGACCATCTTCCTGGGCCAAGGCATTGTAATAAACAAAAATCTGCCCTTATTCCCTTATGGGGGACACAAGAGCCCTTACAAAGTCCTTTGTAGGTTCTCCATTGGTAGGAGAAAATAACAGAGGCCAACCAGAGAATATTGAGAAGCAAAGCAGCTAGTAAGTCTGATCTTTATTGAACTGTTGCAACAGGGTGCCCCCTTCACACGCAGGGGAAGGAGGAGGACCCCAAACCAAGGTGTGTCCGCCCTTATATAGACATTTTAAATTGCCCACCTTGGAGTCAAAGACCACCCCCAGAAACATCATACCTACATCACAGAAAAGGTGGTCTACAACAGAAATTTGAATGTTGTTGTTTTTCCTATCTGCCAGGTTATCTGATAATGCCTTATCTGATTGCCTTTCCTGGTAGTCTGCCCATTCCTTTGAGATGGTGATTACCCACTTCCTGAGACAATGGGAAGGCTCCCCCACGCCCTCCCCTCCTTGCAGAGAAAACATTTGGTCAGTTTGGGAGTCAAAATGGTTTCAGGGCGGTCCTCCTGTGCTGCTCCGGACATGTGATCCACACATCAATGTATGCGCTTGGTTGGCACATTTATGAACATGTATTATATATAAGACCTTAATTTTTTTATTTCAGCTTTAACCATTGTACCTCTGCGCTGCACTGGACCATGGAATCCTAGGGCTTTGCTCTCTAACTCCCCACAGGCAGAACCATCACCCCACAAAATCTGAGGAGCGTTATACTGCAAGCGCTGACCGCATCTGAGACTTCAAGGCCCTTTACAGGGCTCAAGGCTGCCTGATGAAAATGTCAGAATTCGGATGTTGCTTCAGCAACAGTCGGTCCTTAGACCGTGCCTTATAGACCAGCGGCAGTTCTGTCTCGTTTGTAAGTTCCTCCTTTACTGAAAGCTGCTCCTCCATCAGAAGTGGGTCTCTCGCAGGAACTGCTTGGCATACCCAAAGCCCCTTTTCAACAGGATGCCCTTGGGCTGCTCTCCCTCGCCCCCTTCCCTGGCTTGGCACGACAGGCTGCTGCTGTTGCTGCTCAAGGCCCATCATGAAGCAGATTAACACAGGTGAACAAAGGCAATCTTGTTCTGGCCTGAACCAGCCTATGTGCTATGCTGTTGGGGGTGGGAGCAGCCCTTTCTTAGGACTAGCATCACCTTGCGGGTCCTGCCACCTTACTCGCTTTTTCTCTAAACTAAAAAGCCCCAAGCCCTGCAATGTGATAGGACCAGAAAGACGGGTCTGGAATAATGTATTCAATGCCTCTAGGTCTGAGGTTCCCCAGCCCTGACAGAGAGCTAGAATATTGGTTCTTTTTATTTATTTTTTAAGGCTCTGAAACGTAATATTATCCAGAATTCCACCAATACTATCAGATCCTGCATTACAGTTTAATCAGTCAATGGTTCAAAAGTGGAAAACGTACTGAAATAAAAAATTTAGGATCATATATATATATGTGTGTGTGTATGTGTGTGTGTATGTATGTGTATATATATATATATATATATATATATATATATATATATATATATATAATGTTCATAAATGTACCAACCAAGCATGTATATAGATATGTGGACCACATGTCTGGAGGAGCACAGGAAGACCATCCTGAAACCATTTTGACTCCCAAACTGACCAAATGTTTTCTCTGCAAGGATGGAGGGGGTTGAGGGAACCTTCCCATTGTCTCAGGAATTGGGAAATCACCATCTCAAAGGAATAGGCAGACTACCAGTAAAGGCAATCAGATAAGGTATTATCAGATAACCTGACAGACAGGAAAAACAACAACATTCAAATTTCTGTTGTAGACCACCTTTTCTGTGATGTAGGTATGATGTTTTTTGGGGGGTGGTCTTGGGTTACACCCCTTCTGTGATGTATGTATGATGTATGGAGGGGTGGTCTTGAGCTCCAGGGCAGGGAATTTAAAATGTCTATATAAGGTCAGGCACACCTTTGCTCTGAGTCCTCCTCCGTCCTCCTGTGTGTGAGGGGAGCACCCTGTTGCAACAGCTTTAATAAAGATTAGGCTTACTAGCTGCTTTGCTTCTCAGTATTCTCTGGTTGGCCTCTGTTATTTTCTCCTACCGATGGAGAACCTACAAAGAACTCTATAAGGGCTCTTGGATACCCCATAAGGGAATAAGGGCAGATTTTGCTTATTACAGATGGCAACCACGAAGGGACCTTTGGTTGCCCGGATTCTGGGGGCGAGGAAGGACTGGTGATCCAGCGCGCACCAGGCCATTTGCCAGGAGGAGCCACCTGTCCTCCAGCAATGCCCTGACCATTTCCAAATCTAGCAGTCTGCCCCATCCATGCGCTGCCCACCCCACTCCACACACACTACAAGGAAGGCAAAAGCACAGTGCCAAAAAAAATCCCTGAGAACCCCTCTCCCCCACCACCTGGCTGTTTGTCTGCTAATATGTTGGAAGGAACCATGCACTGTGCAAAGGCCCTCAGCCAATACCCTTGCAGCCAAATGATCATTACTGTACTGACTTCCTCCCAATTTAGACCTGGTGCTCCTCCCCCCCCTTCTTAAAAGGGAAATAAAATGCCCCTGCAAAAAAACAAAAACAAAAAAGGAAAGTTTCCTCTTGTGAGAGTTGCTAAACTAGCTTCCACTTTCCATCAGCAGCCTGTGGCCAGCGCCTCTTGAGTGAAAGTATCTCTTCTGCTCTTTCTGGAAATTTGATCCATTCTGCAGGAAACCATGTACCTTTAAAGGAGTCCGGATTGGGGTTTCCACCCCCTGCTCTACCTCCCTGCCGATGAAGATGATTTCAAATCTAAGCCAAGATGCACTACTGTAAAGGGTCCTTTTGCCATACAATCCAATCTCAAGGCTCGTCCTCTTCCATCTACTGCAAAGTCCAGCAAGGTTACAGCAATGACAGTCTGGAACCGCTGAACTGACGGATGAGGGATTTTCTGT